ATCCCTTCCGAGACCGCTCCGAGCAGACGATGATATGTTCACGTTTTTTGCAACTTTCTCAGCAGCTTCTTCCAGCCGTTTACTCAAGCCAAACACACACAAAAAAAAATCACACACACACACAAGCACACACACACACAGACGCACACACACACACACATACAAACACACACTGGGCGAAGAAGACTACAGGCCCAAGCCCGTCAGATGGATTTGCTTCTTGGACTTCAACGCCATGTTCCCAGCCACAAGGTTGCTGCCCATGCCCAACAGCCCCATTGCCCGAACAAGGCCCTGCCTCCAGCTGGCTAACAAGCTCACCAGAGCCCTGAGGTACAAAGAAGTCAAGCAGATACAAGCAGGTACTGGAGAAGAAGGAATTTATCCCCCAGGAAGCAGCTCGATCTTGATCATCTCAGGGAGAGAGACTGAAGAATGGTCACCGACACCAAGTGCCTCATTGCGGAGAACACAGACCTGAATTTCACGCAGGCAGCTTCAGGTCTCCGCCAGCTTGTTGATCTCCTGAAAGGTCAAGCTTCAGCCCGGAGATCTGAGCCGTAGGCCGCCTTGTTCCGCTGCCTCATCGCCTTGGCCGCCGTCCTGGATGAGCGTATATACTTCCCAGTTTTTTCCTGAAGTCCTCCTCCGAGAAACGGCGCATGTTCATTGTCTCCAGGGCATCATTGGAAACGTGGTCATCTTGTGTGTCGTCACCCAATTCTTGATGCTGCCACCGTAGAGGAGCCTCAGGTCGGCTCTTTCGCTGCAATCCGCACAAAGGATCTAATCTCCGCAAGTGCGTCTCAGTGACCCAAAGCCGTGGAGGATTCTTGATGGGCCAGCCGTTGTCCCTGAGGCAAAATTGGCAACAAGCACATCATGGCATCGGCAACGGTCTTGGACTTTCAGCTCGTTCCAAAACTTCTAGATAATGTCCCCATTTCCACGCTTACATGAATTTCGGTATCAAAACAAATCTTAAATTTCTATTTCCTTATCAATGAATATAATTGAAGCATTCTATTTCTTTTCTGGTTTGTTTTATATCAATGATTTATTTTTTAACAAATACCATTCAATATCAGTCGGTTTGGTGAAGGAAAAAACTTTCGAAGTCGGCGAAGTCGGTGGACGGAAGTAATTTTCTCTTTCTTTCCTTGTTTGTGCTCTTTTTTTCATATTCTTTCTGTTATCCATTCTCAGTCTTTTTATCTGTACATCTATTTTTTTCTCTACCCACCTATTAGCCTGGCTACCTATCTATCTATTTTTCGTGTAAACCATTTATCAATAAAAAGCCTGCCATGTTTTATGAATCCTTTGCAAATCCGAGATTTTCCAACTTTCCAAATGGTGTGGATCAAACGGCGCAGCAAAACATCTATTTTTCCATCCTTGTCTTCCTGGTTTTGATTACTGTTGGACGTGCTAAGCGACGGAAATAGATAAATTATTATCTTTCCGTTTTTCCTTTATTCTCTATCTCTCTTTGTTTGTTTGTTTTGTGCTTTTTGTCTATGTGTTTGTCTGCTTGTGTGTTTTTTTTGTTTATTTTTTGTTCTATTTCGTTTTATCTTGGTTTGTCTCTGTTTATATGCCTCTGTTGCCGTTTGTTCTCTTGTCTGTCTCTGTTGTCTTTGTTATTTTTTGTTTTTGGATTTGTTCGGAAATTTGGTTATTCGACTATATTTAGTTGTAATTATTAGTTTGATTGACTCGGATGAACATTGAAATTACAAGTGGCAACGGCCCACGGGACGAAAAGACAATATCGAGGTTGCATATCCAGGGGGAGACAGAAGTCTTGTTCGCGGGCGGTTTCCGCATATCACAAACGTCCTCCGCGCCAGTCTCGCTCGCGGGCGGTTTCCACATATCACGAGCGTCCATCGCACCAGTCTCGCTCGTGGGCGGTTGTCGCATATCACGAGCGTGCGCCACATCAATCTTGATCATGGACGTTTCCAGTCAGCCTCGTGCGCCCAATCTTCACCACATCGTCATCCCCCCAAGGAAGAAGCTAACTAGCTAGCTAACTCACTAACTCAGGCACCCTGGTGAAACAAACACACAGATCTTGCCTTTTGTCGTGATGCTTTCACACACACACGCACACACACACACACACGCACACACACACGCACACTCACACACACACGCACACGCACAAACACACGCACACGACCATGGCGCTGGCTTCGACACGTGTCTGCTGCATTCTCTTGCGCGTGTCTGTTCTAGGTGTCCTTGTTTTTGTGAATATGCGCGCAAATTCCGCAAAATGATGTTGCAGCTTCCTGACAACAACCGCCGTTTTGCGGCGCAGCCTGCACAATACTCTGCAGCGTGTGACCGCCTATCACTGTTTGGGGTCTCGTGCCGGGGTAATTTGTTTATGTTTCTTGTTTTTTCTTTGTTTTTATTGATATTATTATTGATGAAATTAAATATGAAATTAAAACAGAATATATATATATATATATATTCGAATATACATTATTTTTCATAAATTTTAAATAGAATATAAAAAACAAAAAAGGTTTATATAAATTAACGTAATTTATAATTGTTATTAAAAATATCTGTGGGACCGATACAAACTATAACGACGAAGATGAGAAGGGATTTTCATTTCGTTGTGCTGTAGACGGGCGTGCGATGCCGGCTGGGGGTGTTGGCTAGGGGGAAAACGGTATGGGGCTGGCTGGGGGGACGGCGGCGTGGGGACGCAGATTGGGCGTGGTTGGAAGTCAACTGGCTATGTACTCGATTGTGAGGCTGTTGCTGTTGCTAATACTATTGCTGTTTTTGGCTGTTGTTGTTCAGAATACCATCGAGACGCCGTCGCAGCACAGAAACACCATCCAAGGGTAAGTGCGTCGCTCCTGAACGCTGGCAAAACCATCGCTTCAGAACGCTGAAACAAAATCGCTTCGGAACGCCGGAAAACGTACTACTCGCTTCGGAACTCTGGAAGTGGAGCCACGTGCCACGCGCAGCACCGAGACACCCCCCAGAGCTTCAACGGGTGTGCTTATCACGCCCCCCCCCCCCCCGGCCCCACCCCCCACCTTTGGGGAGGTGTGCTTATCATGCCCCCCCCCCACCCCACCCCCCACCCCTAGAACCAGATGAATTTGCACATCTGGGTATAGAGCTTCAGCGCATTTGCTTATCATGCCCCCCCACCCCCAGAACCAGATGAATTTGCACATTTGGGTGTAGAGCTTCAGCGGGTGTGCTTATCACCCCCCCCCACCCCCCCCAGAACCACTAGATTTTGCACACCTGGGCTGGGACGCCTGCCTGCGTACGGAAGTGATCCTGGGCTGGGACGCCTGCGTTCGGAAGTGATTTTTTTGACTGGCCGGGTTTTGTAACCCTTTCGGCGTTCCGGGTGCTCAGTGTTTTGAAGTGATTTTGTTTTAGTGTTCGGAAGTGATCGAAAATGGCAACGTTCACAAATGATTTTTTTTTAGTGTTCTAAAGTGATTGTCTACCCCATCCAAGCATGCCCAAAGAAAGAGAAACAAACTCGTGCGGGGGCGGGAATCGAGGCCGGGACCTTTCGCCGGAAACCCGTGCCGCCAAACCACGAGACAAAACCCCCACGGTCCCCGGAGCCGCCAAATTGTGCGAGCCTACGCAATCGCAACGCATTTCAACATCAAGCAACAACAAGAATCTAAGATAAATACCATACGAAACGCTCGTAAACAGAAGTCGACACCTCACTTTATACGAGCCCATATAATCGAAATGCATTTCAAATACCACACAAAATGCATAAACAGAAGTAACCAACTCATTTTATACGAACCTATGCAAACAAAACGCATTTCCACATCAAACAAAAACACGAGTCTACGGTAAATACCATACAAAACACTCGTAAACAAAAATCGACAGCTCACTTTATACGAGCCTACGCAATAAAAACATAATTCAATATCAAGCAAAAACACGAATTTGCAATAACTACCATGCAAAATATTCGCTAACAAAGCGAGCACCTCAATCTATCACCAAAACCTATTTTCTTACCACAAAAATCCCTTCGTATAAACACAAACAAAAAAAACAAACAAACAAAAAAAAAACTACCAACACCAACGAGAATTTCAATAAATAAACCCAAATAAGTGTTTTTTATTTCTAATAATTTTTTTTTCGGATTATATAAAAAAACACAATTTTTCTAAATTACAATAATTTATTAATATATAAAAAATATAATTTTGAAATCATACCGATTCATACCAATACATCAAATTCTTTACTAAATTTTAAGAATATAATTTTTATATATTATAATTATAAATATTTCCAATTATAAAAACAACTCATAAATTCACACCAAACAACACCAAAATCACAAAACTAAATCACAAACAAAATCATAAACAAAATATTCATCCACATTCTATTCCCCATTTCCCAAACTATATTCATATTTAAAATTACAATTTTTATTTAAATATTAATCTTATTTATTTTTAATATAGTATATATTAATTTATACACCCAAATAAATTATCAAGTATCAAAACGGTTTCCATAAAAAATCCATCATCAAATTCTACGAGGGCTGCGGGGTGATACGAGCACCAAAAAGACCATCGCACTCCCTTTTTGCAGCTCTCTTTTTGCTCTTTGCCCACCGGAAGACCTCGCTCAGACTACCAGGCCAGTTGCACAACTGGAAGATTTGAGCTTTCAACTCCAGCAAGAAACATGCACTAATGCCTCTCCTTTTCTGCTTGTCACCGGGCTTCCTTGAAGAAGCTGTCTCCAGCAGCAAAGCTTGGCCAAGCTGCAAGCAAGAAAAAAGAGAATCTCAGCTGCCTCTTGTTTGTAGTGCATCAAGAACTGCTCACACACCAACTAAAAGAAAGGCTTTTTCATTTTGCGAATGGCCATGTCTGGCTTCTAGATTGTCACATGCCGGGGGGTCTTTGAGACCGCCTCATGGTTCATTAACGCTCCGCTGGGTGAAGCTACGCATCTGCAATAGATGGGTGGATTTCTGTCCACCAAACCACCTGCAGTGCCCATGGAATGAAAACAGGCCAGAGACGCAACAAGGGAGTCACGACTAGCCAGTTTGGGTCTTTCAAGCGGCAAGTGAATCTGCGCGCTAACCAGTTTTGACTGTCGGCCCAACATTCCAATATTTATTTGTATGTAGCTAAATGCAACTTGCAATGCCACGAAAAACCTTGGCGCCCGCCTTCTGACCCTCCTCTGAAGGGTCCAGGGTCACTCGGAAGTGTTGGCCTGCGGGATGCAAATTTATTCTAAATGGAACCAAATGCATTCCGTCGCAAGGCTTGGGCAAGCGCATTACTTGTTTGGTTCCAATGAAACCAAAAGGAGGACCCAGAAATCCAGGACACAAAACCCAGGAATCAAAACCCAGGACCCAGGCAAAGCCCAGATCAGGACCCAAAACCCAGGATCCAGGACCTCAAGACCCAGGACCCCGCCTTTCCTCTCCTGTCCCGAACCCCCGGCCTGGATCCCCAAGGATGGCCCAGTTGAGGCCATGCCCACCTCGAAAATTCCACTCCATCGTGCCAAAAAGAGGTGTGCCTTCTGTTGAGGGTACCCTTGCCTTTTTGGGGGTTGGATAGGGCAACCAAAAGAAAGCCACCATTTTGGTGGTCCTCTTTAAAAAAAAAGGCACACCCATGTTTTTTTGCATAGGTTCCCAAGTCAGGCCGGAACAAGCAGCCGACTTGGCGCCCAACGGTTGTCGGGGCCGCAAACATGCGCCTCCCCAAGGCCAGCCTGGTCGTCAGCTCTACGCTGACAGGCCGTGGCCCAGGGCTTTGTCAGATTTTGCCGTCAGCAGAGGGCACCATGCTTACAGTGCTTGAGGTCTTGTGGATACATTTGAAGGTCACTGTGTTGATTTTGGGAATTCGATGACTCTGCAAGAACCGTTCACATCGCAAATCATGAAGCATGCAGACAAATCTTCAAAGCCTTGCTGCCAGAATCGCTGAACTGGGTTGCAAGTGAGTGGAAATACACACACTTTGGTTTGAGCGGCGCGGGTAGGCGGTGCACACCCTTTGAGGAGAGAAGATAGTTCGCAGAGCCACTCACAGCCTGGATCCCCGAGTACGCTGGTATCATGAAGGCAACAAGTCATAGGGTTCGACGCTGTATCTTTGTGGCTCAAATTAAAGAGCTAGGGTCTTGCAGGTAGTCTTTGGTTCCATTTTCCAAGCTGCCATTCTGGCACATTGGTTTTTGAACCACAGCCACATCCTTTTGACTGCTGCAGGTTCTAACTGACACACCAACGGCCCTCCAATAACCAAGTTCTTCAAATGCATGACGACATCTCGCAGGCGGCTCATGCTTGCCCATTTTGGGTGAATCAAACAAACGCCGTCCCGCCTTCGGCCTGTTGGGATACAGCCGCCGCTGAGCCTTGGGCCAACGCCATTTCAAGGCGACGACAGGAGGGCTTCTGAAAATCCATGCCCTTTTCTTTGTGCTTTGTCTTGCCTCTGGTGATCTTTGCCTTTGGACTTGCCACCCGGTTTGCCATTTGACCCTTTCTTGCTTCCTTCTTTCCCCTTCAGCCCACCTCAGTCGTTTACACCTTGTCAATGTCCATTGGGCTCGGTCCTTGCTGAAGTTGGGTTGTTGTTGAACTGCGCCATGATCGGTGTCCAAGCTGAAGCAGTTTGCTCCAAATTGATCACTGCTGTACGCATTTGAGACCAGGATGCCAGTGCGGTTCTGGCTTGTTCACACAGCATGAGTCCTATGATTGGTATAGTCTTGCCGACACCCTGCGCTGACGCAATTTGCAATGGTCTATGCATCTGATTGCATTGATCAGGCACACGATACCTACGACCATGCCGATGCCGGATTCGCATTTGGGCAAGTCATTGCTGGATTGGCACCCGTACTCCATGCTAACTATTTGATGCTTGAAAGTGGGCTGGATCAAATTGTCTCACACATCATGTATGGCAGATGATGATGATGATGATGATGATGATAATGATGATGATGCTGATGATGATGATGATGATGATGATGATGCTAAAACCAGACAACAAGTACCGCATTAGATTCACTTGTTGGGGTGGCAACAAAACAGGGATAGGAGGAATGCTCAAAGAACTTCAACACAGGGAGAACCAAGAGAAGTGGGTGCAATGAATCGGGAAGTATTGTGGTACCACTTTTAGGGGTAGCAAGCTTCTGCAAAACTTGGAAATCATCCAACTTAGAAGGGCCGGCCCATGTAGGACTTGCATTGCCATGACTAATCATCATGAGTTCTTTGTCAAAGAAACGCTGCCGAGGTTGACGAAGTTGCCCAAAGCTTGCCCCGATTAGAACTTTTGCCTTCAAGCAGCTCCAACGAAGAGCTTGTGTTGGCGCATTTCCTGTTTCGCAGGCCCTTCTGAAAGCAACACTGTCCAGTGCAAATGACGCTAAGCCGCTAAGCTGCAGGCTTCTTTGAGGCTCGGGTCCAAGATGGGAAGGCGCCACTGTGCAGGGCCCAAAGACTGGTGCTCGCCGCCCCAGTCGTCCACCGCCTCGAGACGAAAACATGTGCCCTTTGGGGCCGCTCTGAATGTCAAATTTGAGAGGAGTCAGCAAATAAAAAGACCGAAATACGCTGAAGTGCTTCACAAACTTCTAACGAAACTGCCTCTATCGCAAATTTCTGAACCAATCACCAGCCATTGTTTTGTTGATTTGTGCGATGTTTGCAGCTGCACCCATGAAGGTCACCAGACATTGGCCCGTTTCGACTCTAAAAGCCTGGATCACACTTCAGCGCCGCAGGTCTTGAGAATGTGGAAAGCATAGGGGTGGGAATAGTTAGTTGAAGGGTTCAGAGCATTCAATTTAGTATCTCCTGTGTAACTGCCCTCCTCATTTCCTATTGTTGCTCCGTAAGTTTGGCACCCACTCGTTCTTGAAGTAACATGAAACGGGATGGCAAAGGTTCCAAATGCCGAAATAGTTTCTTCCAGTTCGCGCTTTTTGCCCCCTTTCACTGGGGCAGGAAACACAACACCAAGTCCTCCCCCGAAAAGGCCGAATGCCTAACAAACCCGCTAGGTGAATGTTGGGCAACCATGGCGTGGATATACGTGATACTCACCTTTAAGCACTTGCCGCAAGGTCAAATACCGCTGGAGCCAACGCTTGAGCCCTCTGCAATTTGGAACTCTGCCACGCCGTCAGTGCCCAAGATCAGATCGAACCTGGGCAACGAGTTCAAGCCATTGCAGGTGTGTCCCACTGCCGTGCGCCTTTGAGGCGTGTGTGGGTGGGTTTTCTGTCAGCTTCTAGCTTGCGGCAGTCAACAAGCTTTGTTCATTGCTTGACTCACACATGCGGACTGGCAACATGCCCGGATTTGCTGTACACAAATGGCACGGCAACTTGCAATGTGACCTCAGCACTCCCTAATCTGGACATTCTGGGGCCAATGTAGAGACTCCAAAGCTACCCTGCCATGAACAGCTGCGCAACAGGCATAAGCTTCAATCCGACTTTGGACACCGCCCAGCAAACTCTTCCAACACAAGTCTTCGATCTGCTTGCTAGTAACAGCTGTCTTGAGGTTGGGAGTGTCTTGGTCGAGAAAGCACCATCAGCGCAAGATGAAGCTCCAATACGGCAGGCCCGAGACTTCCAGACTCGACCCCGCTTTGTCCGAGCTGCTGGAAAATCACCTGGTCTGCAGCCTCCTGAGTGTCCTGCAGCCAACTCTGATGCAGCAAATCTTAGCGTCTTTAGGCCAGCTCCATCAACATGATGCGCCTCTTGCCCTGCTCGACTTTCATGAATGCCTCGCATGACTTGATTGACTTACATTTTAAGCTTCGCTATCGAACCATTGGCTCTTACACCACCAGAGTCCACACACGGCCCAGGCCCTGCACCCACAGTTGGCCAACCAGTTCGCGCCTCCAAGGCTTCACTGGCGGCCAGGCAGTGCGCCTGGACACGCCATCAGCTTTGCTCGTGGCACCGGTGTGTTCACATTCGAGAGATTTGTTTCCCAGTGTCATCTGCCGTGCAACTTCCTGTTTAACAAGATGGGCAGCTCCCTAGATGCTTTGAAAGGCAGTTTCATTTGTACGGGGCCAAATGAGGACTGTTTCAGAAGGAGCGGGTTGCGCTTTTTAGCGCTGCAACACTCTTTAGATTCGATTCCCGCGACTGACAAGCCTCTTAGCCATGAGCAGCTTTTTTTCCAAAAGAAACCGTTGCGACCTTGATTCACCTCCACAAGGCAAGTCCTTATCTGGCTTAAGCTCTTGAAGGGTTGCTGAAAGTCATTGCAAATTGTACTGTACCTGTCATGGTCTCCCATGTGTATGGGGTGGATCGCCAGTTGCCACAGGCTACTCAAACACTACAAAGTTTCGTCAACACCAAATGTGTATGATGGGAATGTGTGACTGCCAGATCAGGTGCGCCAGGTACGAGGCGGGTGCGCGCCGGATACGCACCGCGTTCGAGCGCACTGCAGCGTACTGCAGCGTACTGCAGCGTACTGCAGCGTACTGCAGCGTACTGCAGCGTTCGCTGAACATGCAGTACAACGGACCTGTCTTCATTAATGACCGTACCAGGGCTCTAGCACGCGAAGTGTGACGCAAGATTGCAGGAATCCTTCTCAGCCACAGAAGCGATCCCAAATGACTTCTGAAGTAATGGTCTGAGGCTTGTCAGAACTTAAGACTGTTTTCTTGTGCTCGGCAGTGATGGCCGACAGGGATGTCAGAAGCCAGCTGTGATCCCGTGCCTTCTTCATCATCTCCAGCCTCCAACCTTGGATGGAGATAAATCCCGCCCTCTAGAAAGTCGTGCACTCCACACCAAGATGGCTGCTTCCCTCCATTTGCTCAAGTCCCCTGGAAAAAAATGGCAAATCATTCCAGTGGTGAAATCGATTCCCTTCAAACCAACAGGGGAAAAAACAAACATATTCTTAAGCAAATGGAAGAAAAGGACATGGGAAAAGGAGTGAGCCAACTACCTGGGTCAAACCAACAAGGGGAAAATCAGACATATTCCGAAACAAACGGAAGGCTTGGGGAGTCCTATGACTCCCTTTGAAGCTCAGCGGCTGTTCCACGAGCCCGAGATCAGGAAGATGGGCTCCTCCGCAGTCAAGCTGGCCTGGACCCGAGGCGGGCTTGGGCGTGTGCTTCTCGAGGGTAATTTCTCCTTTGGTTGGTAAAGGGCGACCAAAATGGGAAAAACACACACACACCATCATCAAGTGTAATGCTTTTGGCGATGAAACGTCGCCTTGTTCCACAGACCCTGCGACTGCACCAAATGACAGACATAAGGGCGGGTGGAAGATGCCTTACCGCTAGGCACGACACTGATGGTGCCTCTGCTACATGATTGCACGTGAGCGACTCGAAGAACCTGCAAACGCCTTGAAAGTATAGTGCATTGATACTTAAATAGACTGTCATCCTTACCAAGTTGACACGACCGAGCCAATGCTCTTGCTGCGCTTCAGATGCTTCCAGAAAAGGTTGGATAAGGAGGGATTCGAACTTTCGTGAAATTGGAAGAGGGGCCAACAGGCCTTGGATGACAACACACGCCCAATTACAAGCACATGCCTGACCTGCGGACGCGCATGAAACGCCCATGGATCAGGCAGTCACCCACATTTGCTCGCAGCAGTTGCAGGGACCAAAATGCAAGACCACTGTCAAGCCAGTTGAATTTGGGACTGCATTCCAAGGGCCTCCCTGAAAAGAACACCGCTCGTGTGGGAAATGATAATACCCGAAAGTAAGTGAAACACAACAACGTCATAAGCTGTCAGTCAAAACCCTGTACCCCTGGTGAACATCAAAATAGGTGGCAAATAGATGTTCATCCACCCCGAAATGGAGCCACAGGTTATGCCCCATGGCCATATTCAAGCGAACAAAATGCGGAGATTTTGGAGACTGGAGGCTGCCTGCCCCTAGGCCCGAGCCGGAGCGCTCTGCCAGGTCTTGGTGCCGTGGTCATCTGAGCGGATAGTGACCTCGTTCCCAAACCCGTCTTGGATGTTCAAGCAGTAACCAACGTCAGGCAAGTAGGTTGTATCCGTGTGAAGTAGGGTAACTGGGGTTGCGTGCGCTTGTTCTCTAGCAGAGTTGCACGACCAACAGTTGAACATGTGTCAGTTGCAAGGCGACTTGCAAAGTGACTGAACGTTTGGTACTTGGTGCGTCCGTGTAACTCAGCAAGGTGTCATGCCTCAAAGAACGAGCTTGTGCTTCAACCAAAGCCCACACAAACAAAATCCCCCGAATTGGAAGGCAGAACCCTTCCCACTGGGCACAACTAGACATGCAAAGAATGTACTGTCCATACAAACCCTGTTTGTTCCTTTGAAAGGAATCCTGAAAAAGGACGGCTGGCCAGGGTCCGTTTAATCTCTCAGTGCTCCCGCGGTAATCTCACCGTCCATGACGCGCAGCTGGATGGTCACCACATCGTTGCTGCGGCCTGGCAGTCGGCAACCTCCCCCAAGAAACAGAAAGAAACATCTCCCACTGGAAGGGAGCAGCTGAGGCATTTGGCTCCAGTCAACTGAGGTGAAGAGGACACTAGTGACACTCTTCTTGCCCTGGGCTACCATTTCACGATGGGGGGAATGCTGTCAGAAAATTCCGAATGGGGATTGCTAGGGGCAGCTTCTTCCGGGTTCATGTCAGGCAAAACTTCCTTCGCAAACCAAATGCCACATGGGTGTGTCTGTCTTTTGGGACCCCCCAAATGGTGGTTTTCCTTTTGGTTTCCCTTTCAAATGACAAACAAGGGGCCTCAAAAAGACACTCCACATAATTCCTTTGCAGCAGACTGCCAACACCCCAACTGCTTGAAGCCAGCCTTGCAGCAACCAGTTCCTGGTGCACATGACATGTCATGCGCATGCCAGCGAAGCTTTGACAAAAGCTCAAAGGTTTGAGAGACAAAGAGAGCTAAATGTGCATGGACACAATCCACTTCGCACCAGTCGGGATGAATGGAACCCTGCAATTGGGATAGATCACCCATGAACTGGTGTGAAGCGGATTTCATCCACCCGCAGTATGAACTCATGTTTGTTTGGTCCATGCAGCGGAAGCCCCTGACAGCTGCCACGCGCTAAGATCAGGGAACAAAAGGGCGCTTGGCAATTCTGCTCCAGAGTTCCTTCTCTCATGTGATCGAAACCAAACAAATACATCACATGCGCTTCTGGACCCTTTTCATATCCGCATTTCCCAGTCCTGTTGTGGCTCTGATTGTCAGGACCGCGCACAGCGACGTCCGGGCTTGTCACCCGGCTTGCAGCAGGATGGATCACCTGAGCACCAACAAGCCTTGCACTACCCCTCCGAGCAGCGGCGAAGTCAAGGCTCGCTTTGAGGTTTGTTGCCATCTCCAGAAAAGCTTAGAAAAGACAGGGCATGCGTCCTCCCATCGGAAAAAAAAACCCAAGGCAGCCAACAAACTTTTTTCAACGACTTCTGCACGCACAATTTACAGGCTTAGACACTACCTGGCGCACTATGCTTTGGAGAACCACTTTTCTTGGATGTGACTTTGGAAAGAGAGCAAGGACCAGCATTGCCAAGTCGTGAAAGAACGTTTTTAAGGAGACCCCCCAAATGGCTGCTTTCAAAAGGTTGGGTTCCCCAAAAAGACGTGGAACCCCTTTCTTCCAAAATGACATTTAACGAAAACGCGTCTCTGTCGCCGAGGCCATTGCCTGATTCCAGTCTCTGTCGCGCAGGAATTGAAACTCCTGACCAGGTTTGGCCAAGGCGATGATACCTACCCTCTGCTCCGCAAACATGCATCCTGGCAGGGGGTGCCTTTGAAACCGATATGGTCTTCCAGGCCGCTTTGTGAGGTTCCATGTGGATGGGAGGGTAGCCACCATTTGGCATGCCAACACAAAAAAATACTCAACGCCATTGCAGACGAAGGCCACACTGCGCAGCATGAGCAGCGGCCCACCAGAAGTTCTCCAAAAGTAACTCAGAAGCGAAGGAACGATGATTGAAAAGAATGGAAAAGGAATTAACCCCTTGAACAAAGCTCACATGTAAACATGACATTCGTCCTCCTGCCCGGCGAGGCCCAAGCGCACGGAAGTGATCCAAAGACCATCCTCCTCCTGGCTCCGCACCATATCCTGGCGCTCCCCAAGCGGTGAGCATGAGGCAAAATCTGGGTGTGTCTTGTTTTAGGGACCCCCTGTGGTTTTCTTTGGGTTTTCCTTCAAAGCCACAAGGGATTCCTCTCAAACACATGCACACCCATCTGCAAATTTGGGGCCAAAGATTCGACAAACTCCGTACCCAGCATGTGTCAAGAGGCCAAGTTCAGTGCAAAGCATCGGCAAACCGTCTCGGTACTAATACGGGCCCTGACGTCTCGAGATGCTGATGATCCACATGAGAAAGGAAGAGGAAAGTGAACACTGAGGCCATCAGGCACAGTGCAAACATGTATAACAAACACGCTTGGCGCAATTGTAGTCCTTGCCTCGCACTGCCTTCACAGCCTTGAGACTTGCCTGAACCTGCCCGTTACTGTCGCCTTTCAAGTTTCTTGCAGTCTTAGCCATGGCTTTGATGAAGGGACTCAGGGTCAGAACTCTGAGACTCAGTTGCTCTGAGCCCACTTGTGCAGGAATCGATTTGGCAGCCGATGCACAGGACAAAGGGTCTCTGGTTCCGAACTTGAGTCCTGGCACTTCCAGGCTGTCCAGGTCCCGACGATCGCCTTGGCAGCCCATCACGTCGACTGCTTGGCAGAAAGCGGGGCAATTCTTCGTCGCTCTACCGCTTCACGAAATGAACAGCGTCAGTCAATGTACATTGACCATTGATCCGAAGGCAGTTACCACGAATGGGGATGTGGCATGTCCATACTTTGCCGGTTCCAGAAGTATATCTGAGAAGCATGCAGCACCACTCGCGTGAAAGGGACTTACAGTCTGAAATTCAGCTTCAATCATGGAGCAGTACGCGCCCCCGAAAGGTCCATCCATCCGAGTCACGTAGCTGTGGTTGAAGGTTGCCGGTCGCCGGAACCGCGGCACGTCCATGGAACCTGCGAGAACCAGGTGCATCAAGCTCAGTTTGCATTGGGTCAGGTGGGCTCGGGCGAAGGCGATATGTCATGCCATCAAAACACACGCAAACATGAACAGTAGCTTAGATGTTGCTTCATGACTTGATATTGATTGGCAAAAGGTCGCTATCAGGATATGGAACTCAATCTTGTTCACCCAGTTCTTCTGGATGTGTCCATTGAAGTGGTACCAACTCTTGTGATGTCGACGTGCTCAGGTGCTGTCTTTTCTCCGTCCTATTGATACCGGCCGCCAACCCTTTCCCTTCTGATTTGATTGTCCATTGAACAAACATGTGTTGCTTCTCCCTTCACGAACTTCTGTGCAGCAAATCCAGGGTTGAAAAATATGAGATCTGCACCCAACAGTTGCGGCGCCGGGCGCTTTTGCCGCTGATGTTCAGCGCAAATTGCATTCCACCAGTTGTCATGATGCTGCTCCCTGTGCGAATTCCTTGGATGCGTTCCTGCACGTTGCTCCTGTAATAGCGTTTATTTTACCCCTTTTTAGTGGCTTTCAACACCGAAAGGACATTCACCATTTTGCTTCTTCATTTTTTTTTTTTTTTTTTTGGGGGGGGGCAAAAAAGAAAACTCACCCATTTGTTGCCTGCACGTTGCCATCGTAGATTGCTATGCCAGATGTGCAGGTGCTACTTGCCTCCTGTCCCGTCTCCTGCCCTCACCTGTCAGCGTACCCTAACCTGGCCTCGCCTCCCCTTCCCTCCCCTTCCCTCCCCTCCCCTCCCCTCCCAGAAGAATCGTGCACCTAGCAATCTTACTTTTCGCAACGCATGACAATCACAGCCCAGGCGTGAATACTTTACCCATAGCTACTCCTCTTTGTGTGGACCAGCCGCATTTGCCAACTGATGGTGCCCAGTGCCTGGTCGCCAGGTCACGATCCTGGCACTTGGGCCGGAGAGAGCGTCATTCGTCCAAACCGCGCAGAAAAGGCTCCCAAATGAATGACAAGCAATGCGAAGGCCTGGTGATTTGACCTAGAACGAAATTCCAAGCCACGAAACGAAGCCATATCTGTGACCTCGGGCCTCGTAGGACGCTCAAGCTTTTTTTCCAGATCAAAGGCATGATTGCCATGGCAGCAAAGTAGGTATAGCCAGCAGCAACCAAAGCATAGGCTGCGACAGCAGTGGCAAAATCACAACTCCAGAGTGGCTAGTTGGAGATACGCACATATATATATATATATATAAGCACACCAAGGAGCATTCCTGGAGCACCTATAGCAGACTTGAAGGCTTGAAACGCAGGCTGCAAACGCTGGCCGCAAAGCGCTGATAAGATCCCACCCCCGCCTGAACTCGCCGCGCTCCCAGGTAAAGCCCCACTCCAACTTCACCACATAGGTGGACGCAGCGCCGGTGCCCTCACAAGGAGTTGGTGAACCAAACATCTGTCCAAATAACAACCTGCTTGAGCAACATTAAAAAAACAAAAAACAAAAACAAAACACGTCGGCACCTGCAAGACATATCAACTTCAACTAACTCGCATCTCGCTCCTCCAGCATGCCGTCGATGAGCCAGCTTGCAGCCTGCCATGCGGCTGGTGGGCATGGCTGCAAGAATTTCTTAAAGGCCCTGCTTCGTTTCCCCGCCTGCAAATGCAACGAACAATTGGGGTGTGTGTGACTCAAAATTGAAGAGCCAGGGAACCGCAGGTTTTCGTCTACTTTTCCGTTTACCAGGGCTCAATTGTGGGTCTCTATTTTGAGCCACACCCAACTTGTGACCCGCCGTTGACCTGTTAGAGCTCGTCTTGGCTTCTTCAGGCCAGCAAATCGCAAGGTTGACATTCTGCCCTCTTTCTCGGTTTGGGTCACTTGAAGAAACTGAAGATACGAATCAGGAAAGAACAGGAACTACAAAGGTCAGCAGCAACTACATGTTCAAGTCAAAGTAATGTGCTATGGTCAAGCTGTGCTATTCATGGTCATGGTTCTAGGAATCCTTATGTTGGTTGTGTAAAATTCCTGAGGATCCCTACTGTGGCTAATATGCTAACCACTGCATGCAATCACTTATCAGGGAGGGAGTGAATGGCTGGCATCTTGCCGAAGTGCAAACTGTTGCGAATCGAAGGGCGGACGAAGCATTGTCAGCATCGTCGTGGTTGTTGGCTGGCATACGGATCCCGGAAGCAACAGCACTTGGTACTGATTGATTTGCCACCGCCTTGTCCACGAGCACCGCTTGAAAGAAGTCGCCACGCCACCCGAGCTTGCTGCCCAGTGTGAAAGAAATGAAGAAACAAGAAAAGGAAAAGAAACACATCCCAAAACAAAAAACAAAAACCTCAAGAATCCCAACCCCGGGGCTCCCTGAGGCCCTCAGCTTCCCGCCTTGCCCCGGCGGTCCGGGCCGATGGCGGGCTCACGCGGACCCGCCATGGCCTTGCCCGGGTGGATAATCTGGTTCGGGTCCTGGCCGAAATGGCCCCATAGGGCGCCCATGGGCCCGCGCGCATGGCGGCCATGCGAGCTCCAGTCACAACCAGTCAGCCAGGTGAACGCATCCATGAGACATGTGTCAAGCCAAGGTTTTCGACAAGTTGCGAGTTGGTGGCATCTGTGTTCTTGACGCTGAGCAAACGTAGATCTCGCTGGGTGCAAGTCACGGAGCCACAGAATGAGAAGGACTAGCAGAAGCCGAAGTTAGGCAGTACCTGCGAATCAGCAGGAAGTGGCAAATATCGGCGAATTGGCAACTAGTGACACATAGTGGCCAAGATTGGCACCTAGTGGCAAAGAGGCAAAAAACAATTGCAAATTCTGGCAAAGATGGCAAGCAATAACCCGGCGGTGAATGGCAAATCAAAAAGTAGCTGCAGATATAACAGCAGCAGAGTGTTGCCGATACAGAGAGCACAGTGTAGTAGGCACTACCAACACATAGAAAGAGTTGAAGACAAAAGAAGGAGTAGCAAGCTAAATTGCCAACAAATTGTAGAGGATTGCTAGCTTCGCAGCAGGAGAGTACTGAAGGTTGCTTGCAAAAGAGAGAACCACTCTGACGTGTGGTGAGACTGCATACATGGAGCACATGTATCACAACACCTCTGCCTTTTACAACTCCGTCAATTCCCATCAAGAGCCGGTCCTGGTTGACCAGCAAACGGAAATGCTCCCGACCTGCACAGGGAGGGCTGAGGCGTAGGATGCTTCTCGGGAGCGATTAGTCACCTTTGCCGCAGATTTTCTGCACTCCTAGTCCTACCCTATTGCTCAGCTTCCCCTTATTGGTGTTGGGGTTGTTCCCATTGTCCCTCTGCAAACCACTAAATATTACCCGAACTGTAGAGCGTACTGCAGAAGCTTCCGAATCGCCAGCATGCTCACTACCGGTTCCCTCTGGATCTACTTCTTAAACACACACAGCCGAACAGGCAGTTTCAAACATCCAGAGTTGCTTCCCGATCGGGAACCACGGTGACTTTGCCTGTCTCGCCCAGCTGGACCAACGCTGTGTACTCTCCAAGGACCTGCTTCCTTGGATACACATGGGGCCCCACAAGCCAAACAATCTGAGACGTGCCTCTGAACGATGGCGTTTTTTCCCTTGCAGGGATTCCAATTGTGGCAAATCTGAAAACCAAACCGATGTCTAAAACAGTGCCTGTGAGCACAATCGTATCCACACACACAAAGACACAAACATAAGCACACGCAAACACAACCGGACACGCACACACACACACACACACAGCACACACACACACATACACATACAAACACACATACACATACACATACACACAGACACATACATATACACATACACATACACATACACATACACATACACGTACACAGACACACACACACACACACATACACACACACACAAGGAAACACACCCACACAAGGAAGCACACACACACACACACACACAAGGACACACACACACACAAACACACAAGGACTCACACACACACACAAGGAGACACACACACAAGGAGACACACACACACACACAAGGACACACACACACACACAAGGAAGCACACACACACACACACACACACAAAAAAAAAAGAAAAAGAAGAAGAGGCAAACATGACGCAAACACAAACGCAAACGCAAACACATATGCACGTATGAGTGCATATCATGTCGGGCAGTCTGGTGGCAACTCTTGCCGGAGGAGTACGTACGGAATGCTCAAAGCATAAAGTCAGATTCCTTTGCTGTGATCAACACGCTCAGCTCCTTTGTACGGTAGCCTTTCTCTTCGATCGCTGAATGCCCGATGCCCCGCCCAAGAAACGCACAGCATGGGGTCCACGCTCGATGTTCGATCCAGTGGGTGCGTCAAATCAGAAGGACATCACCTGTTTGATGTGTTCCTCCATTTTGAGACGCACCCATGGTAATAGTCAAAGCGTCTTGTGGACCATAGTCAAGCTCGCCTGCCTCGCAAAGAGTTCATGATTCTTGCTAGTAGAGGTCAGCAAAGAGTGAACTAATTGGTGTGTTGGGGGCAGGTATTTGATTTGTTGGGGTACAAGGCAGTCGTCACTGTGGTCGGCCTTGCCGGCCAGACTAAGGCCGGTCAGCCGGTCACATACGAGACTTTATGAATTTGGACTGCAGGTCCAACAATTCCAAGACGGCCTTGGGTGGCCTGGCCATGACCTCGAAGCGGATGGCTTTGCCGGTGGCCGCGTCCAGCGTGATGAGGTCAACCCCACGCATAACGAGCCCGTCCGGCTTTCCGATATTGCATGTGAACTCCAGAGCCAGCGACAACTGCTTGTCATCCACCATCTCGCGTGTGTACTCGAAGTTCTTGAACGCCTTGGACACACCCAGCAGAGCCAGCATAGAGAATTTCTTATCCTTGCGTTCCTTCAAGTACGTGGGCGCGAGGAAGACAATGTCATCGTGGAACAGCTCGTTCAAGCCCTTCATCATGGCTTGCTCATCGCCGCCATCCGGGCTGTTCAGTTGCGACAGCACCACCTCGTGCCATTTGTGCAAGAACGCTGAAGCAGCCATGGCGCGCCTTCCCTACCTGTGTCTATTGAGAATGTGGCAGCATTCGGCAAAGTTTGAGCAACGTACCACGGCCTGTTCCCAGTTGTAGCAGCTCATTGAGGAGACTCTGCTAGGCTCAAGATCCGACAAAGCCTCTATTGTTTTCACAGCACATCACGCAGCGGCCACATATCGAAATTCATCTCCCAAGTCAGCCCATTGGACTCCGGGCTCCATCTCCAGCATGCTGCTGAAGGCGTCCCAGGATCCGGCGATGTAGATCTCAAAAGACCGGGCTGCCGAAACTGCCCCTCACGACCCTCGACCTGTCAATGGCTCTCCCTTTCTCTCCCTCTCTCCCTTTTCAAGGGCTAGCTGCCCATGTTGGCCGCGCAGCTCGCTACACAAGCTTCACCCGTCACTGGACAAATGGCATGCCCGTTGTGTGGAGCAATTGAAACTTCGTATTTTACTCAAAGATCAAGGATAGCCTGGGCTTTGCAGGAGAGCCTGTATTGATATGCTTCACTGAAGCAGCACATGTTCGCACCACAAACCGGCAGCACCTGCCTGGTCACTGGCATGGGGTCCTGGAATCACGCTTCTGCCATGATCACATGGCCACCCGACGACAAAAGTTGAAGTCGACAGAGCGCTTTTACCCACACTAAGCTTAAGTAGGTGCCATCCACAGGCGACAGCAGCCATGATCATGCCGATCTCACGCATGGTCCACTATTGCTCCATTCCAATACCACCAATTCGGGTGCCCGTGCACAATTGAACTTTGACCCAGCAGTGTGTACTTTGACAATCTCTCATATGCTGCCTTTGCCATGTCCTCCAGCCTCTACCTACAAAGTGTGCCCAATTCATGACATCCAAAAATGCTTGCACCTGAAGAACTCTGGTTGCAATCAGGGATGCTCCTTCTCACTCTCCGTCCTTGCAACCTAGGCTCTCTCTCCTTCCCTCTCTCCCCAGCCATGCCGCTACCTGTCCTGGATTGCCATAGTGAAAGACTCGGTCATAGAAGAGCTGACCTGAGTAGCGGGGTATGCAAGAGAAAAGGTGAAGAGCCTTGAGCTAAGCTAAAGGACTTTTCGCCGCTATACATGGCCAACCTAGTCACCATATGTGTTTCTGAGTTGATCACTCGTCCCCAAGACCAAGACACATGTCCCTAGAAACGTAGGGAAGATAGAGAGTATAGAGAACATAGGGAACATAGGGAAGCTGGAACAGAGATTCTATCATTGACTGCATGCTATGCCAAAAGGCCCAGAACAAATTGGAAGACTTAACAAATCAGATCAGGCTTTGCAGGTGGGTTGAACTAGCTTGTCATCTCTGAAAGTGTCTGAAAAACCGAAGCAGTAGAAGCCAATTGACAGGCTCTGTTCATCTCCAGAGTGCTTCCCTTTCGCGCGCTGGTGCATGAATAGGCGTGTTGCAAAACTTCTGCACTAAGCCACTCCTTGTTGTTTGCGGTGGACTTGTTTGACCCGATTCGGGGGTCGGTGGTGGTGGGCAGTATTGGCTTGAACAACATACCATTGCAAATTCAACTGCGCAGGAAAGCACAATGTGCGGTCAAGGTATTTGATACGCCGCTGGACCAAGAACATGATATTTACACTGCCTGTTCAATGCAGCCGACTGGCACGGTGGAACAAATTGCACTTGGGCCAGAGTCTCCAAGAAAGAAAAAAGTAGCCACCATCACTCGAAGAAGGCTATTTGACAAGTAAGCAATGCTCATGGCTGGCGACAGCAGAAGAGCGATTGTTGATAGCAGCATGTGCCGGTGTATGCATACTGTATATACATGTTATACATGTACATATATATATATATATATGTGGTATGTATATATATATATATCTATATATTGTAGGCGCAGATACAAATATTTGTGTAGACTATACATACAAACGCGTACAACTTGCCTTGAAGATCTCTGGCCCGTGGCAACGTGCTGCTCCCCAGACCCGACTCGCTGCAGCTGAATGGGCGCTGAAGCACCCAGGTGCCAGTGTCCAGGTGCTCCGTCCTCCGCGCGCCCCTGGCCCGGATGGGGCGTGAAGCAAAACTCGGCTGGGTGACCAAGGCCTGTGTTGGCACCCTGGCAGGTTGGCAATTTGGCAACTTTGCGTCCGTAGTTTGGCCGCCTGGTTGAGCTCTGGGTTTGGTACCCCGTAAAATTGGCTGAGTTTCCCTTTGCTGTCCTGTTCAAGCCCCAAATTACGAGAGGCACATTCTCGGGATTCATGCTTTCTCTGGCGAACCCGCTGATCCGCAACGGCCCGTTGGTTCCAAAAAGTCGACTGAACTTCCAACAGAAACTGAGCTGGAGGTTTTGCACCCCTCTTCCCATCCCCCAAACGGAACCCACACGAACTCGCCTCAAGCAGCGGCCCCAAAGGTCGCCGCGCGCATTGGTGCCGCCAAAGCCAAAGGAGGAGACCCCCGAGATGCCTCAAGGCATCTAAGACCGCACGGCTGAGTCAAGTCATTGGGCAAAGGGCAGAGAACCCACAGCTGTCACTGCATACCCTGGTGGCCCTGGTGAGCAAAACGATCCCGAAGAGTCCGTGAGCCCAGGTCCATTGAGGAGATGAGGTGTGACACTTGGACCAAACTCTCTGGGCCTGATTTGACACCATAGTCCACCAGCTCTGACGCGAAGTACACCTCACAGTGCAAGATCTTGCCCCTCTGGAAAATAGCTTGTCATGTGATTGCTTGTACTTTGTGGGCGTTTATCTCAGATTACAACTTAACTTGATTGCAAGGGAAGCACAACCCGAACTTGGGCAACTCGGACTGACACATCCTGAGCACTCCGCGAAGGTGCAAAAACCTTTAAGCCTTTCATAGAATCACAAGCCAGTCTGCGGTTTCAAGGAAGCCCGTCGCTTGGCCACATGAGTTCTGAACTTTTGGCAGCTGAGTCGTTCCCCTTTCCGTTTGGGCTCGTTCCTCTCCGATTCTTGCTAGGCACCCTGAGGTTGACTTGACAGTGGATCCAGCTCCTTGCAGCCCAAGCCTTCCCTGCAGGAAGTGTACCAGACTTCAGCTGAGGTCTGCAGTATTTATTTTCACAGCCCGCGTTGCCATGCAGCCAAGCCACCGGATACCCGTTGGTGTCCATGTGCGGGTTCAGGAAATCTCAGGTCGGGGCACAGACGAAATGCCTCTCGCTTGTGGCCCGGTCCGACTTATCTCAAACTTCCAAGCTCGTTCTTCCCCTAGCCCACAAAGGCCCGCAGATTCTGCCAGAGAAGCAATGGGCGGCTCCAAGACTTGCAACGACTCATTGGCTGGAAATGACTGCAAGGAAAAACGGGGAACACCAAAAAAGGTTGTATCCTTTTGGCTTCCCTTTCAAACCACCCCGAACAGGTACACTCCGAGAAAAAATAAATAAATTAGCAAACCCAAGTAATGCAGCCTCAGGTGCTGAGATGGTTGTTGGGCGGGCAGGAGCTGCCGTTCAGGATGTTGACGCACTTCAGAACCCCTGGCACAGGTCGTGTCACATTGAGGCTACTCGCCGCCTTTTTGGTGTTGGTTTAAAGGTAAACCAAAGGGAAAAGGCCGCAGTTGGAGGGTACCGATCCAGACGAATCTCTTCTCTCTTTTCTCAAGACCCATGATCGAACTGGGGCTCCGGCCTGCCATGCCAGCAGACGCCTCCAAGTGCCCCAAGTTGGTCTTGGCACTGGTATTGAGAATCGGCGCGGGGCGCTCCTGCGCAGACCCTGAGCTTGGGCCGGGCTTGCCTGAAACCAGAAGTACAAACCACTACTCCTAGTGCAAACGGGCACAAAGCATGTGGGCCAAATTGCGCTTGTTAGTCGTGAGGTCTGTTCTTCCGGCCATTTCCCCTGTCCTGCATCACCATGCGCAGAGCGCTCACTTCGATGGGATCCTGCGCCGCGTGCAGGCGATGGGAGTGCTGCATTTTCTAGAAGGCCAACCTGCGTTGTCAAAATCACACTATCGGCTTCACAGAAATCGGACAGTCTCGAACTTAGCATGTTCACGACTTGGTTGTGCTGACACTGTCTGGCCTGAGATGCCTGGACGCCTGGATGTTTTGCCACTGGAGATTCAAGCCTTAGGATTTTGGGCGGGGTTGGTCGTTGACCATTTTAGGCCCTATCACTCCATGAGAGGCTTTTTGGGTGGTGCTCCACCTGCTGGTTGCACAAGGCTAGAACCCATATCACATATCATGGTGACACAACCAGCCTGCCTACAAGGCTCCAGCCGATGCCTACCTGGGAACTGCGAAGAGTAACACGCCCCAAGTTTTAGACCGACAAAACCACGCCCACCTCCCCCCACCCAGCGGGTCCCCGAGTGCTGTGCCAGTGCCGTGGCACTCAGCCACATTGATCTCACTGGCATTGAGCTTGGACTCCAGCATGGAGTTCCTGTGACGCTTCGTGCCTCACCCTCTCGCTTCAGCAATCGAGCAAATGCATGACTTGAAAATGGAATCCAATGCCGCGAAAAACTGCTTGCACAGGGGTCATTCATGCTGCACCCAGGGCTTGCGAGATCAGCTTCACATGTTGCTTCAGGACGGAGCTGAGACCCAACCAGATGTGCAGCGAAAAGAACTGGTCAGACAAGCGCAGCGTGCGGCCAACTCTCACGCCTGATGCACTGCTGCTGCGATGGACCGTTCGGCGCTGTCCTCAGCCATACCAGCTGGAGTGGGACGGGCCACGAGGTTCGAACATGTTACCAGTTGCGATGACTCCCTACGAACAAATTCTGCTGAAACACAATCAAGGAGCAATGAGGCAATGATCCATCCAAGAGTCCAGCAGAAAGATAGCTTGCCTTGCCTCCTTTATCAGCTGTGAGCTATGTCGGGCCGCTAGTTCAGCCCAACATCCAGCTTTTAATAGTCGCTTCTTGCGTCACAGCATCCAGCACATCCTAAACCCTTAGAGGAAGCTGAGATTGTACCTAGCTACCGAGGCTGGCACATGCTCGCGCTGCGGCCATCTTGGTTCACAGCAGAGCCGATGAGGGAGGCAAAGCACTCCTGGGTGCCGACCAAAGCAAGGTTAAACACAAAGGTGGCAAAGGAGTGTTTAACGAAGTGCTAGCTGCCCCATTTCCCTGTCCGTGTCCATTGTTTGTGGAGGGCTTGAGTAGCCTCTTTGGCTCGCGTTTCCCAACAGGATAGGGGCCAACGAAAAGAAGCCCACCATCAACTATCAGACCCCATTCTGCCTTGTCAGGCCCTGTCAGGCACCAATAGGAACCACAAGACGTTGAGCCCCCCACTTTGACATGTAAGACGTTCATCCCAACCCACGCACAGCTTGGGCGGACTGTGGCTGTAGGCTTGGCTTGCGGAACTTGCCTTACGTTCTATGTGGAAATACCATGTCTTGTCGCTGTCTCGTAGCATTTCAGCCAAGACTGTGAAAATTCATCCCAAATCCCTCTTTTGGCAATCCTTATTGGCAGCATCGCGCAGACAGAAAAAAACAACAAAACAACAACTCCCATTCTCAAGTCGCGAAATCCAAGGCGACTGTTCCGTCCTGCGCCTCAGCTGCATCCGGACCGAGCTTCAGCACTAGGCTTCCGCAGCCCTCGCCCCGCGCGTAGCCTCAAGCCACGTGGTGTTGGTGCCCACAAGGTGGCAACGGCTTTCTTGGGTTTCCCGGCAAAATAATCCCGAAAAAGGCCCACATGCTGTGCGCACCTCAATGTTGAAGTGTAAAAGAACACCCTACATGACAGAGTGTGCCGCAGTTGTCGTACAAAACTAGAAAACCAATCACACCAGAACTGTAATTCATGCTTTTGAGCTCTCTACAATATGCCCAACTCGTTCAATCTGCAGATCAGACAGTAGACTGTACGGTCGCCTGGCTCTCCTGCAGAGCCTCTCCCAACTTGAATCGACACTTGAAAAGACACTTATTTTACGGTACGCGAAATCGACCCTCACTTCACCAAGTCGGGTTGGTGCTGCACCCGTTGTTTCTGCATCAGAACCCACCCATGGGCGACCAAGCGCCGTTCTGGCCTGTGCTGGCTTCTCGCTCTTAGAAATGTGATAAGTCTCAAGCAACCCACAATAGTCGACAGGCTCAAAAGCAGGTTTCTGGAATCGACCAACTTTTCTAGAGCCCGGAAGCACAGTGCTTCCCGGCCCGTTTTTTCAATCCCCCGCCCTTTCCCCGGCCCCCCCGGCCGAATTTCAGAGGAAATCCTCGAGAGCCCTCCGCGCCCTGGCAACCCGAGCCCCCGAGGTTCAGGCCGTCGCCGCTGCTGTCAAAGGTGAAGCATCGGCCCCGGGGCGACAGCATGTGGGGGCCTCGCGCACTTGCTTCGCAGGGAGTGAAACTTGCAAGCCTGAAGTGCAATCATGAAAAAAGGATACCGTTTTAATAGTCACTCTTTCACTCAAGCTAAATTGTGAAAACTGATTCTCACGCGTTGAACCTATACTTTCTAACTTACACGTACCTACGTCACACTCTCTCTCTCTCTCTCTCTCTCTCGCTCTGTCTCTCTCTCTCTCTTTCACTCACTCACTCACTCACTCACTCACTCACTCACTCACTCACTCACTCACTCACTCACTCACTCACTCACTCACTCACTCGCTCGCTCGCTCGCTCGCTCGCTCACTCACTCACTCACTCACTCACTCAGCTTCAACACAGCAAACTTCAACAGTCAGTCGGGGTCCCTTCGTTTCAACTAATTTTCTCTATTGCACTGTCCTGATCATGAGGGGGCACACATGTGTATTTATTCCCATGCCAGGATTGAGAAAAATCATTTATCAAATCATTATTCCGTTCACCCAAAAACGACATGTTCAACAACAGGAACAACCAAAGGTCACGAAAGACCTCAGAAACAATGTGTTGATGGCTTTCGGGTACCAAACTGAAAACAATTCAGTTTTCCCGCAGGCTCAAAAGAGGACTCCCCACAATCATGCTTCAGGATACTCCAGTTGAACACCATCTTGTCTTTGACTTTCAACACATATGCATACTTTCCATTCACAGAGCTTGCCAAAGGCCAAAGAATGTCCAAGGATACGGCGTGAAAAACGAAAAAAAACACGTCAAGGACTGGAAGGTAAACTGAGACTGAAAACAAGGTAGATGATATCTTTGGATGTGGTGTCACTGCTGGCGGGAATTCATGTCCACCAGCCACTGTTAAGATGGTTCCCTAACACAGTCATTGCCATATGGATGTGTTTCAAAATGGCAAACCGCCCTGTTGACAGTTCACAGGCGGTCCCTGATTGGGAGACAAGCCATAAACGCCCTGGAGATGTTCAACCTCTGTCCCATGTCAGGCAAGTCCTTTGCCTGCGAGCAAGCTTATTTGTCCTTGCTTTTGTGCACCGCATGAACGACAAGATGAAGGTTGCCGGGTTCACCATATGAGCGACGGACAAAATCTCTTGTACTGGCAAAGGACATCGGTCATTTGGGGCGTCCCCTATCGGTTACCCGCGCATGACCCGCAAGCTCACGCTTAAATTGAAAACATAGCGGTAGCAGTGGCAAGGGAGGTGTTCACATTCGAGTGTTGACATTCGACAGGTCTGGGCGTCGGTTGGGTATCGGTTGGGTGTTGGTTGGGTATCGGTTGGGTATTGGTTGTGTATCGGTTATCGGTTGGGCATTATTGGTTGTTGGTTGGGTATTTATTGGTTATTGGTTGGGTATCGGTTGGTATCGGTTGGGTATCGGTTGGGTATCGGCTGCTATCGGTTGGGTATCGGTTGGGTATCGGTTGGGTATCGGTTGGGTATCGGTTGGGTATCGGTTGGTGTCGGTTGGGTATCGGTTGGGTGTCGGTTGGGTATCGGTTATCGGTTGGGGGTATATCGGTTGGGTGGGCATCGGTTGGTATCGGTTGGGTGTCTGATCGATTGATTTTTCAACAAGATTTCTGATTGGCACTTCTGATCGACAATTTTGAGCGACGCTTGATCGACACGTCTGAGTAACGTTTCTCAACATCATTTTTTCTTGTCGATTTTTCTGAGTGATACTCCCGATTGACAGAGCAATGCTTTTGATCCGCACTTCTGATTGAGACTTCTGATCGATACTTCTGATCGCTTCTGCTGCTCAACCACATCTCTGATTGACACTGAGAAATACTTCGGAGCCAATGTTTTTGTTGACAGTTCTGAAGAACACTTCTGACTAACTCTTTCTGAGCCACAGAGCTTATCGAGACTTCTGCAGGATTTCTGAACAACACTGCTGTTCTGAGCAGACTTTTTGAATTCTGATCGAGACTTCTGACTGACACTTTTGAGAAACCCTTATCAACACTTCTGAACACTTCTCATTCACTTCTGAACGACGCTTTTGATCCGCACTTCTGATGGACAGTTCTAAGAACTTTTAATACGCGCTTCTGAGTGACAATTCTGATCTTGGAAGTTGCTCAGAAGTATTGATGAGAAGGGTTCCTGAAAAGTATTGGATCAGAGATGGTTGCTCAGATGCGTCGCTCAGAACAGAACAGCAGTGTTGCTCAGAAGTCGTTCAGAAAGGTCCATAAGCTCTGGCAGAAGTGTTGTTGTTCAGAATTGTCGATCGCAAGTGTTTCTGAATGTCAAGCACAGATGTGGTTCATCAGCGATCGTCAACCAGAAGTACAGACCAAAATTTTGCACAGAAAAGTCAATCAGAAGCATGGCTTAAAAAAAACGATTCAATCAGAAAAAAATCGTTGAGACCGCCGCTTAGGTGTCGGTTGGGTATCGGTTGGGTCTCGGTTGGGTATCGGTTATCGGTTGGGCATCGGTTGGGTATCGGTTAGTGGTTGGGTCTTGGTTGGGTGGGTATCGGTTGGGTCTGGGTTGGGTATCGGTTGGGTGTTGGGTAGGTATCGGTTGGGTATCGCTTGGGCATCGGTTATCGGTTGGGTATGGGTTGGGTATCGGTTGGGTGTCGGTTGGGTGTTGGTTGGGTGTTGGTTGGGCGGGTATCGGTTAGGTGTCGGTTGGGTGTTGCGTGGGTATCGGTTGGGTATCGGTTATTGGTTGGGCGTCGGTTGGGTATTGGTTGGGTATCGCTTGGGTATCGGTTGGGTATCGGTTGGGTATCCTTCGGGTATCGGTTGGGTGTCGGTTGGGTATCGGTTGGGTATCGGTTGGTATCGGTTGGGTATCGGTTGGGTGTCGGTTGGGTATCGGTTATCGGTTGGGGGTATATCGGTTGGGCGGGCATCGGTTGGTATCGGTTGGGTGTCTGATCGATTGATTTTTCAACAAGATTTCTGATTGGCACTTCTGATCGACAATTTTGAGCGACGCTTGATCAATCACTTCTGACCCACAGTTTTTCTGATCGACACGTCTGAGTAACGTTTCTCAACATCACTTTTTCTTGTCGATTTTTCTGAGCGATACTTCCGATTGACTGAGCAATGCCTTTAAACCGCACTTCTGATTGACACTTCTGATCGATACTTCTGATCGCTTCTGCTGCTCAACCACATCTCTGATTAACACTGAGAAATACTTCGGAGCCAATGTTTTTGTTGACAGTTCTGAAGAACACTTCTGACTAACTCTTTCTGAGCCACAGAGCTTATCGAGACTTCTGCAGGATTTCTGAACAACACTGCTGTTCTGAGCAGACTTTTTGAATTCTGATCGAGACTTCTGACCGACACTTTTGAGAAACCCTTATCAACACTTCTGAACACTTCTCATTCACTTCTGAACGACGCTTTTGATCCGCACTTCTGATTGACAATTCTAAGAACTTTTAATACGCGCTTCTGAGTGACAATTCTGATCTTGGAAGCTGCTCAGAAGTATTGATGAGAAGGGTTCCTGAAAAGTGTTGGATCAGAGATGGTTGCTCAGATGTGTCGCTCAGAACAGAACAGCAGTATTGCTCAGAAGTCGTTCAGAAAGGTCCATAAGCTCTGGCAGAAGTGTTGTTCAGAATTGTCGATCGCAAGTGTTTCTGAATGTCAAGCACAGATGTGGTTCATCAGCGATCGTCAATCAGAAGTACAGACCAAAATTTTGCACAGAACAGTCAATCAGAAGCATGGCTTAAAAAAAGCGATTCAATCAGAAAAACGTCGTTGAGACCGTCGCTTAGGAGTCGGTTGGGTATCGGTTGGGTCTCGGTTGGGTATCGGTTATCGGTTGGGCATCGGTTGGGTATCAGTTAGCGGTTGGGTCTTGGTTGGGTGGGTGTTGGTTGGGTCTGGGTTGGGTATCGGTTGGGTGCCGGGTAGGTATCGGTTGGGTATCGCTTGGGCATCGGTTATCGGTTGGGTATGGGTTGGGTATCGGTTGGGTGTCGGTTGGGTATTGGTTGGGCGGGTATCGGTTAGGTGTCGGTTGGGTGTCGCGTGGGTATCGGTTGGGTATCGGATATCGGTTGGGTGTCGGTTGGGTATCGCTTGGGTATCGGTTGGGTATCGGTTCTCGGTTGGGTATTGGTTATTGGTTGGGTGTCGGTTGGGTGGGTATCGTTCGGGTATCGGTTGGGTGTCGGTTCGGTTTCGGTTGGTTATCGGTTAGGTATCGGGTATCGGTTGGGTATCGGTTGGGTATTGGGTGTTGGTTGGGTATCGGTGGGGTATCGGTTGGGTATCGGTTGGGTCTCGGTTGGGTCTCGGTTGGGTCTCGGTTGGGTCTCGGTTGGTATCGGTTGGTGTCGGTTATTGGTTGGGCATCGGTTGGGTATCGGTTGGGCATCGGTTCTTGGTTGGGCATTTCTGTTGGGAATCGGTTATCGGTCTGGTATCGGTTGGGCATTGGATATTGGTTGGGTATTAGTTGGGTATCGGTTGGGTATCGGTTGGGTCTCGGTTGGTATCGGTTATCTGGTTGGGTATCGGTTTGCTGTTGGGTGTTGGGTATTATTGGTTGGGTGTCGGTTGGGTCGGTATCGGTTGGGTGTCGGTTGGGTATCGGTTGGGTATCGGTTGGGTATCGGTTGGGTATCGGTTGGGTATCGGTTGGGTATCGGTTGGGTATCGGTTGGGTGTCGGTTGGGTATCGGTTGGGTATCGGTTGGGTATCGGTTGGGTATTGGTTGGGTATCGGTTATTGGTTGGTTGTCGGTTGGGTATCGGTTGGGTGTATTGGTTATTGGCTGGGTATCGGTTGGGTATCGGTTGGGTCCGGGTTGGTATCGGTTATCGGTTGGGCATCGGTTGGGCAGCGGTTGGGTATCGGTTGGCGGTTGGGTATCGGTTGGGTATCGGTTGGGTACCGGTTGGGTATCGGTTTGGAGTCGGTTGGGCATCGGTTGGGTATCGGTTGGGTATTGGTTGCGTATCGGTTATCGGTTGGGTATCGGTTGGGTATCGGTTGGGTGGGTATCGGTTGGGTATCGGTTGGGTGTCGGTTCTCGGTTGGGTATCGGTTCTCAGTTGGGTATCGGTTCTCGGTTGGGTGTCGGTTGTCGGTTGGGTATCGGTTGGGTATCGGTTGGGTATCGGTTGGGTATCGGTTGGGTATCGGTTGGGTATCGGTTGGGTATCGGTTGTCGGTTGGGTATCGGTTATCGGTTGAGTATCGATTGGCCCGTGGTGCCTTTGAATGGAAAACTGGTCTTGGTGGCAAACGTGTGCAAGTCTTTTCGAAAGGTATTATGCGTAGGGGCGTTTTGACCTCTATGACTTTTTAGATGTTTTGCAAAAACCAAAGTCCAGTTTTCATTTAAGTTCTTTGTCGAGAGTTTTGTCGGGCACTCATACGCGCTTGATATTAGTCTTGAAGTGAGCTGAAACTCTAAAGCACCCAGTCTGCGACCCTCAAGAATCAGACTGAAACAGCGCGAGACGCTGGCTTCCTTTGGAGTTGTGGAGAATTGCAGCTTAAACGCTTGACTGGCAGCTTTGCCGTTTTAGGGAACCAGGACTATGGATGAGTTGTCTCAGTCGTACACTAGACTTCTTTAACCGCTGCGAGTGAACTCCCTGCAGCTTGAAAATGGCCAGCTGAGCCAAGCACCTGAGTACTGAATGTACCTCAGAGCGGCAACCGCCACAGACTCGTTTCGGGACTTACACACAATAAGCAACACTGTGGGACCTGGCTGAAAGCACCTCTCTAGTGCACCTGGGCCATCCTCCTTAAGGGGCAATTGTAATGAGCATCATTACCTGCTGCGCTCCGCGAAAACTCATGTGGCTGTGGGTCAAAACCAATGGGATCCCATTTTGCGGTAGGTGAATTCACCACCCATTTTAGAACCTATTTCAGTGGTTGGATTGGGATGTTCACTGGGGGTACCATTTGGCTTTTGACCCATGGCCATATCAACGCAACGCAAGGCTCGGTTCAGTCCGAGCTGCATCCTGGGGGAGAGCAGCAGGTTGCAGCCCTGCACCAGCGCCATCCGGATCTGGGCCACGGGCGCATCAGAAACCGCATCCGGCGGCCGAAGGACGTGTTGCGTGTGGCTTTCGGAGTAGTGGTCAAGCACGTTCGGCAAGAGCGGTTTGAGCGCGAGTGTGTCTGAGATGTGTCTGAGATGTGTGTGTGGTGGAGAGTATGTTGCATGTGGACCAGAGACATATGATCAGAGCAGGGTGCCTGACCGCGTGTGTTTGTTGCCAACTCTGCACAGTAGTAAAAAAAGGAGGAGTATGTAATGCAAGATGTCCTTGGTGATGAAGAACGTTTTGGCAGCCCTTGGCAAATGGCCTGTCACTGGTTGGCAGATTGTTTCCACGGGCAGCTCCTTCCTAACACTGTCGCAGGTTCTGCCCCTTGGAAGCATACTCTCAATATGAACAGCTCCACGTCATCTCTACCTCTCTCTCTCTCTCTGTCTGTATCGAGGATCCAGCATGTGGTAGGATTCCTGGATCCACCTGCTCGGGCATAGCCTGCAGGGCGTGTGCACCGAGCGCGCCTTGCTCTGACAAGGCTGACAGACGGAGGTGGTGGCTGCAGAACCTCAAGCCAGCCGGTTTTGCCTTCGAATCGGCCAAACAACTTTGTCGTGGGCAACAAAGATCACGTGGCGTGGTGTCAACATGACTGGGTCTGCCCAAGAGCAAAGCAGCCTGTACAAACGTCTGATGTCGACCGACCACTAGGCTCACCTTTCTTTTGCAAGTGTCATCAACAAACCTCACTTGGCAGCGTGCCATTGTGGATTATTCTACCTCTTGAACAAAGAAAACAAAGCAAACGACCCAGGCTCGCTCTGTCTCTTTCCTCTCAATCCCCGCGCCCGGCGCAGAGCGGTGTGTGCCACTCCCAAAGCCACCAGAGAGGAGGAGCCTCAGAGCGTGGCCATCCGAAGTGAACACTCCACGCTTGTCTGGAGTGAAGCAATGACACCCCAAAGAGGCCGGCGAAGTTGTGTACCCTAACGAAGTCGCCGAAACTTGCTCAGCCATTGTGAATTCATGCTGGAACAGAAGAAAAAAAAACACACTTCATTTTTGTAGAATAAGGCGATGACCTTGTACGCTTCATGATTGCTGCTGCTCACACGCGAATTCTCGCCTTGGTCGAACCAGCAAGCACATGAGTGTCTTTTTTGGGAATCGGATCCCCGGAAAATGGAGTTGGGTCTTTTTGGATTCCCTTTAAAACCACCAACCATCAGGTATCCCTTAATGGGTGGTTTGGATTGGTGGCTTGGATTTGGATTTGAACCCCTGGTTCTTGTGCAAGGATGGAAACCCCACCTTGAAGACCTCCAAACCACCGGGCTCCCTACCTTTCTCGAGCTAAGCAGTAAGTCTTGAAACCAACCCAGCCAAAAAAAGGGGTACCAACCCCAAAACCGCGGGGTCTTCCTTTCAAAACCACGCCCCACGTGCCAACTCCCAGAAGGGGCGCGCCGCGGGTCGCGGCTTCGCTTGGGGGTTCCGGGCAGGCGGTGTCCACCGTGAGCGTGGGCCCTCGAAGGCCCAGCACGTGCGCCAGCCGCGAGCCTCCGAAGGCCCCGTTTTGGGGAGGAAGCTGGGAGACCACAAGGCGCCATGAAATGCCCCAAAGTTCATGAGGTTGGTTCTTGTTTTGGGGGGGAAGCCGCCAGGAGACGCAATGAAATGTCAAAAAAAAGGGGGGGGGATGTCCGGTCCTGAAAAAGGGGACACATGTGCATTCTCAGGGGAGGTGTGAAGGGGAAGTCACGTGGGCCCAAGGGAAGGAATCCATGATGCGAGAGATGCTGGGTCGATCTTCAGGTCTTGGCCCAAAAAGGAGCGTACCGCAAGACAACAATCACAGCTTGCGCCAAAGCGTTGCAGCATGTTCCCTCTTGCAGTTCCATCCATGGCTTCATTTGCCCAATGCTCTCTAGGGAAATGCCAGCCAGCTTAGCAAAGGGGCTGTCGCGTGGCGCGGCCTTCCTTTGCCACACCGCTTCTTTTTGCAGCCCGTTGAGACACCCACAGCTTTGGTGAGGCACACCTGCCAGTCTGCCAGCACGTCAAGCCAGACAAGGCTTCCGGCCAGCGTGTCTGTGGAACCCATGGATACCAAAAAATGGACCAAAAGGCCCACCTCACCGCAGGTTCACGTTGAACTTCTCCCCTCGAAAGGGTTCCAACGCAGATCCGCTGCAACTTCTGGACAGCTCAAGGCTGCTCCCAGCGGAAGGTGTAGAGATAGATCTCATCGTCTTCTTCCCCAAGCGCTTGGTGGGTGACCGCCATGCCTGCATCCTCTGCCCAGCCGATGAAGTTGCCAATGGACTCCCAGTCCTCGCGAAACCTCGGGCAGCACAAGGACACCCATTCACATAGGCTGCATTTTTCATGAGGTGTATCCCACCAAAATGATGCTGGGTCAGGCCTAGTTCGGAGAACGCTTGCCGCTTGCAAAAACACACCACACCAGTCCATATGTGGCAGGGTCGACAGCCTTTCTCATCCATCTTTCAGCTTTGGAACGCACTCTCTTGGGCACTGTGATGCCTTGTTTGTGAATGTTGGCCTGTAATTACACTAAGGCTTTTCACCTCAGCCGGCGGCAGTTGAATGTACAGCTTGTGGCAAAGAAAAAAAATGCAGTAGCTAGGCAGGCCCAGGCTGCCCGAGTCCCAATCAGCCCGGCCCAGCGCAACAGTTTACCCAAAAGTCCCAAGGCAACTCATTCTGCGACTGTGGCCGTCTTAGAACCAAACAAATCGCAGAACCTGAACGGAGGCACCGGGGGCAGCGTTCCCAACAACCCCACGAAAGCAACAACCGCAAAGGCCACAAAGGTGTGTCCTTCTTTTTGAGGCTACCTCTTTTTTGGCTTTGTCGTCTTTCCATGCAAGCTTCCGGTGCCCCCATTGTGCGCCCCGGGGACCAAACCGATTGATGGGCACGCGCGCGTTCGCCGCGTGATCCCGAGGCGCTCGAAGGCCAAGAAGAGCCGCGCCCCGGCGCGGCGCGCCAGCAGGGCCCGGCAGCTCGCCCACAGCGCCTCCAGGTCCTCGAGAGCACGGCCGGTCCCTGAAGCGACTCGTAGAGTGCTTTTTCGGCTTTTTTTTGCCTTTTCTTTCTTTTCGCCGGGCCCAGTCAAGAAACATCAATATCGAAGTGCCCACCATTCGGGGCTCCCCTGGGCTCTAGTCTTTGAAGAGTACAAAAGAAAACCCTCTTCTTTTTTGCCCACGCGCTGCATTGCTCTTTGCTTGCTCTGTTCCTTGACCTGTGCATTTGTGCATTCAAGTCAACGAAACCAAACACCTGCGCCGGCAATGTACGCACAACCCAAGGCAATGTTCCCGACAAAAAAGCAAAAAACACATTCGCATTCGGACACGGTGTTTCGGACATCATGACTTCACAGCACCAAAAAGAGATTCCAGGACACGCCAGACTGGCTCCGTGCAGAAGTCAGCTATGATTCGGAACCCAGGTGCAAAGGAGGACAAGATGATGTCACTGCCCACGAGGAGATCAAATCCTCCCGGCGTATCTGCCAGAATTGCCTGGAGCCGCATCGGGTGAAGTGCAAGTAGCATGCCAAAATGATCATCACCAAACACGTCTCAGGTGAGCTCCTTTTCTGAGTGAACCCACCCCGTGTCAACGGTACAGCTAAGCACTACCGGGCCATTCGTTGTCAGGCCACCGCAGAGTAGATTCGCGAGAGGAAACGCATGACCAATGATTCAAGCGTTTCTGTTGTGCCATAAGTGTTGGGAGCTGTGGCTTTGAAGAAGCAAGATGCCCCCCCAACTTGTCGGCAAAGATTTTGTAACTCTTTGGGCCTCTCAAGCTACCTTCATGGATCCAAACAGTTATAAGCTGACTTTGAGACCACAAATGATGCGGCATGATGGACAGCACAATGTGCATCGTTGATGTCTGGCTCTCCAAATTTTGCTGTCTGGCTATCAAGGCATAATAAGCAAACCTGATGCGGGACGTTCACATCGGATGTTCAGAGCTCGGTTCATTGCGAACGTGATGAAATTCACCCAAGACAATCAGTGCTTGTTCGCAACTAGGCCCAATCAGAGGGAAAACACGGGTGTGGCTCACAAATGAGGGCCCGAAATGGAACTCTGGTGGGAAAGCTAGACTCAAACTTGCGGCTTTCCTGGCTCTTAGAGTTTGAGCCACCACATGCTCAGACTGCCTTTCGCCCGCCTCCTGATCTGCAGAGCCCCAGTCTAGCCTGGCCACCTCCACCATAACGCCTGCAGATATGCGGCAAATTGGATAGAATTGATTCAAGCTCTGGACCAAGTCCACTGAGAATAGCTCTCTGACACTTCAACAAACATGGCCACATTGACAAAATTCCATCATTTGCAGCAAATGAACACGGAAGACACAACTAGCTCTTGCTTCCTCCCATTGCTTCCTCCCACCTCCCATTGGCTTCCGCATTGAAACCCCGGGTGACCAAAACCCACGAGAGGCAGCTCCACAGCCCGCCCCTGGATCCCTCAACCGGCGGCGCTCCGCCGGCGCCTCTCTGCGCCAGCAGCTCCGCGTTGCGCCGCAGCAGCGGCAGCGCGCCCTCCCAGTCCGTGAGCACCGCGCGGGCACCGCAGGCGGCGCAAGCGGCGCCCACCAAGCCCACGCCAGCGCCCAGCTCCAGCAGGGACCGGCCTAGCGCTTTTTGCTTTTGCATTGCTTTGAGGCAGACTGCAGTCTTTCACAAGCTCCTTCTCACTGCTGTCTTTTGACAGGCACTCCACTCCACACTCCTTCCTCCCCTCTCTCTCTCTCTCTCTCTCTCTCTCTCTCTCTCTCTCTCCCTCTCTCTCTCCCGCTCTCCTGTCCCCGCACCTGGCAGAGTCTCAGCCTGGGTGTCCAGCAGGAACTGCGCCATGCGCTGGGCCGCCGGCCACAGCACCGAGGAAGTGCCCTGGACGAAGCCGCCGCTGTCCGCGCCCCGCTGCTCCAAGTGCAGCGCCTCCGGCGGAAGGTCACGGCAAGCTGTTAGGGGAATTGAAGCAATGGTTCAGGTTCCCTTTCGATAGCATCACCCACAACTGAAGCAACCTTGGTCCAAATGAAACATACAAGGCCTGGGAGAGAGGAGAAAAAAAAACAAAAACAAAAACAAACGCGCATGCTGCAACCAAAGCCTAGATAGACCTCATCTGCCCTCCGCCACCTTAAAACAAGTCTTGCGAAAGGAGTTTGCTGCACCAAGTCATGTTGTTGGTTGTAGGGCACGTTGACAAAAAAATACAAAGCAACAAAGTTGGGTATTGGGCAGCGGTGGGAAACGTGAGTAGAAACTGAAGGTAGCAACTGATGGTTCACTTGCTGGGGAAAATGAAGCCAGTCCTCTTTGTTTCATGCCTAGTCAATCATTCCCGCGAGCTTGAAGGAAACGATCAAGCAACACGCAGGTCCTTCCCAAGCTGAGCCGCCTGTTCCGTCAACGCCCCGCCCCAGCTCCGAGCTCCGAAACTCCGAGCTCCGAACGGGGCCCGCCCGCCCGTCGCCGCCTCCTCCAGCCTGGGGTGGTTGAACTCCACCACGGGGGAGCGCTGGTCGCAGCCATGGATCGCCGCTTCCATGACGGCGGGAGCCGAGGCGCCACGGCTCCCTTTTGCTGACGGTGTTGAGAGTGCGTTGCTTTTCTTCTTCTTCTTTTCCTTTTTGTTTTTTTTTCCTTTTCTTGGACTATCCACGGAACTGGCAAACACCCTTCCTGACCCCATGGGTCAAAACAAATGTCAGTTGTCAAGTCTACCAAGTTGAATGCTGCATGATGGGATACAAGCTCATTGTCCGTCTCAAGCGCAAGGCTATGGCTGGTCCAGCTCTGCATATTCTGTCCTAATGTGTTTTCAAATGTTGCAAGCATTGATTGTCCCCCACAACTATGCCTCCACTTTTCTCGCGCACGTCTGAAGTGCTGGCAATTTCATGGAGAAAGGCGACGGCCTATTCACCCTGCTGTGGTTTAAAGTCATCGCATGGAAGTGGCCTTACAGCGTGAAAATGCGCATGTTTCGCAGGGCTTGCTGATTCCCTGCAAATGGCAGCTGCCGACAGAATGCTGTAGTCATGGGGGTGCAGAATCCCGCGTGTACTGCATCTGCAATCAAAACAAGGTAGTAGGGGAGCTTGATTCCTCAAACTAATCACGGATCAAAGGGCTGTGTACTTATCATATACGCAGAATCGCTGTCGCATTCAAACTCATTGATTAACTTCTGCATTGGTTGACTTTTGAATCGGCCCCAAAGCAACTCACATGTGCCTAGCCTTACACAATCCTTCCATGCGTATGAGTATATATATATATACATACTTATGTCTCTCTCGCAGTTACCATCTTTCTAGCTCAGCCTACAGCTTAGAGCCATGTTGCAACATTGACAGCTCCAAACAGCTCACTGACTCACTGATCCCCCTCCATAATCAAACCAGACTCGGAAGACAGCGGGCAGTTGCGAGGTCCTCTGTCCTGACAGAGGCGCCTCCGATGCTTTGCATGGAGCCCAGGCAGCGCTGAGGGCCGGAATTGTGCGCGAACCTTAGGCAGTCAAAGAGAAGAACTCTGAGATGGCAAGTCCTGAGACCTGTCATTGCAAAGCAGGAAATAATTAGGCAGGAAACCAAAAGCCCCACCTGTTTTCCAGGTTCTTGGAACCTTCCTACCATCTCTCCTGATGAAAAGCTCGGGCGCTTCACGTGCCTAGACTCGCTACAGGTGGGGTGTGGGGTGGGGTGGGGCGGGGCGGGGCGGGGCGGGGCGGGGCGGGGTGGGGTGGGATGGGGTGGGGGGGGGTGGGGGGGGAGGAACACCCGTCACGGTCCACATGCTTTTCAGAAGACCTTCAAAATCAGAAATATAGTCGTCTACATTGTGATTTAGCATGGTTTGCTTTCAAGAGAGACAAGTCGTATACTCAAGAGAGGCATACTGTAAATGCAAGAGAAGCAGCCACTGCGGTTTCAACGTGATTGCCACACACACACACACCACACACACACACACACACCAACAAAATTCAAGTTGCGCGAACCGTACAATTACCATGCAAATGGCAATATTTTCCGATCTTGGTGGTGCCACGTGGCCAAACCAACGAACCAACCGACCGCCAGACCGACCGACCAACCAAGCGACCGACCAACCGACCGATCGACCAACCAACCCACCAAACAACAAGTCGCACAAAAAAAAACACGACAAGCCAACAAATCAACAAGCCAACAATCAACAAATCAGCAAACCAACGGGCAAACAAACAACATTGTATCACATTGTCACACACTGCAACACACTGTTGTAAATTGTAACCCATTGTAGCACGTTGCTGCGGCAATGAGAGGTCCGTTTCTGAGGCATAGTATTAATCAAAACATCAATTTAGTGGCCACCTTTGGGCTGTTGAAGACGACAAAGAAAACCATGCAGGTGAAGATAGCGACGCAAAATAGGAAGTCGGATTTTCGTTTTCCAGATAGGTTCAGGCTTAAGAGTTGCTGTTGGATTTGCAGCCAGATTGTTGGAGCCAGGCAGATTTATGCCTCTCGGGGAAGTGAAAAGAGGAAACAATTCGAGACTGGAAATTGGAATAATTTGTGTTTCGGTGTCGGGAAATTTCCAGCGTCCAGGGAATGTGGCCGAAAACGAAACACTGCGTAAGATGAAGGCGAAAATCAAATTAGGAATTACGTACCGCTTAGAGTTTCAGGTGTTCGAAGGCATTTGCGGTTTTGGGGGCTTCAGGTGGTTTAGCGGTGGTTTTCCATTTCCAGCGCCATTGTCCAGCATCAACCACATTTTAAGCGTCAAGAGGTTGCTTGCATCAGAGGGGAAAATATGTCATTCATGCACAAACCGAACACAACAAGCAGAAAAACAAACAAACCAACAGGCAGGCAGGCAGGCGGGCAGGCAGGCAGGCAGGCGGGCAGGCAGGCAGGCAGGCAGGCACAAAGAAGCAAGCAAGGCAGCAAACAAACAAACCAGCAATCTTGCTTTGAATGGCATCCTGTTTGTCTCGCCCTGATGATAGTTGCGCGTGCCTGAACGCAGTAGGGAAGCCTAGGCTGAAGCAAGCCTGGCGGCAGCAACCGCAGCGCGGCGGTGTTGGCTGGCCGCTGGCCAAAGGGCAGCCGAACTGAAAGGCCGATGGACAGGGACTTCCCCGTCTTGATCGCAGGCTGTATGCTGATTTGCTGATGTTGCTTTGAATGGATCAGAATGAAGGGGCTGCGTCGGTCATGTGGAAAGAGTGATGGTCTTCTCTTAGGATCATGCGAGAAAGCAAAGAAAACAAAGAAAAAATAGTTCTCCAAACAGGGTTGACTCCTCCCCCCCCCCCCGCCCCCCCACGCGCAGCGAAACCGCCGAAGCTGCTCCAAGGTCCACGGTGGGGCCCCGGCAGCTGCGGCCAGTCGCAGCCCGAGTCTCCGAGGTAAACGCCACAGGCGAGGCCCTGGCACTTCGCCTGGGGGCCACGTGAAGCGGCACGGGTCCCAGTCACTTCCCCGCCCCTTGCCGCCGCAAAGAAAGAAAGAAAGAAAGAAAGAAAGAAAGAAAGAAAGAAAGAAAGAAACAAACAAGCGAACAAGCAAACAACAAACCAACCAAAAAAACCAAACTAAGCCAATCAGGACAACACAATGATAAACAAAAACAAAACACGGCAAACCAAAACAAAGCACGGCAAAGCAAAGCAAAGCAACAAACAAACAAACAGACAGACAGACAAACAAACAAGAAACACAATTCGCGATCAAGCAAGCAAACAAACCAAACCAAACCAAACGATACTATAGACGCCAACAAAGAAAACACAACAGCTGAAAATCAAACCCAAGAAAAACTACACAACAACAATCAAACAAACAAGCAAACAAGCAAACAAACCAAGAGACAAACAGACAGAGAGACAGACAATCAGACAAACAGACAGACAAACAAACAAACGGACAAACAGACAGGCAGGCAGGCAGGCAAGCAGGCAGGCAGGCAGGCAAACAAACAAACAAACAAACAAACAAACAAACAAACAAACAAACAAACAAGCAAGCAAGCAAGCAAGCAAGCAAGCAAACAAACAAGCAGACAGGCAAAAAAACACATAAGAAGAAGAAGAAGAAGGGGAAAAGAAAAAACACGCAGACAGACCAGACAGACAGACAGACAAACAGACAAACAACCAAACAAACAACCAAACAAACAACCAAACAAACAACCAAACAAACAACCAAACAAACAACCAAGCAAACAACCAAGCAAACAACCAAACAAACAACCAAACAAACAAACCAAACCAGACCGAGCCAAACCAAGCCAAACAAAAAGACAGAACAAACGCAAACGAAACCCAAACCAAACGAAACGAAATCATGTTCCATCCAATTTTGGACCACCTGCTGGAAGCCAGAATGCCACTGGGCGCGCCTTGTTGATCCCGGCATTCCGCAGCGCCTGCAAGGCCAAGGAGTTCTCCAATGGGCGTCTCTCTTTTTCCAAAACGGCGGTTTTCCCATTGGTTTCCCTTTAACACCATACCACAAAGGGAACCCGCAAAAAAAGACTCACCCTACTGTCCTTTTTGGCTTCCCTGGACTATCGTCACAGAAAAGGGTTACCTTTAACAAGAGTCACGCCCAAATGTCCCTTTTTCTTTTGAGCTTTGTCCGAGGCAGGCAATGATTTTGAGGAAGGAAGCGACAGCTTTGGAAATAGGTGGCTTGGGCCGGCTGCAATCGTCATGATACGTTTGCCATTTTTGCTGGAAGGCAACGGCAGCTTCCGCATGAGGCCCCGGTGGTTGGATGGGATGCAATTGTTCGAAAATCAATCTACACACCCAGTGCCCATTGCACTGATGAATGCGTTTAAAAAGGCGTCTTGGTGTGGGAACTATCACGAGTCTTCCGCACACTGAACATGTTCAAGCAAACCCCCTCGTCTCGTCCTCAGAACATCTCACGGCCAGCACAGTGCTTTTATGCAGCCAGGTATGTCTTTAGTTGTTTGTCACGACAGGCTTTTGGTTTCCTATCAAGCTCTGAAAGAACAGGGCTCGTCATTCTGCCCCAACGCATGTTGGGAGCAAAGCCGGCAGCATTGATTGTTAGCAACATGTTTTGGATGCTCAAGAGCTGATTTGGTTATGCTTCAAAGCCAACGGGATCCCATTTTGGGATAGGTGAATTCACCACCCATTTTAGAACCTATTTTACTGGGGATTGGTTGATGTTCACTGGGGGTACGATTCGGGTTTTGACCCATGGCCCTTTGACGAAAAAGGTATCTGAGTCCTCTTGCTCCAACCTGCCGACCCCACTGCGCAAGCGCTTGCGCCTCATAGCCGGTCTGCAAAACCAAGCGCTGCGAGGGGGCCATGTTGCCGGCCTCTGTCTCTCGGCTTCGTTGAAACCCGGCACCAAAAGCATCTTAAAGCGTCATGCAAGGAACGCTTCCAGGCATTTCATCTAAGGCCCAACTTGCATTGCCCAAATTGACATACCAGCTGAAGGCCTTACATAGGGATGGCTTTGGGGGTATGTACCCCGTGTAATCCATGTACAGCCTCTAATTTTGGGGTGTGTCCACTTGGAGGATGCAAGTTGGCCCCTTAAAAAAAAAAGGCGCAGCAATGCGCACATGCTCCAACAGGGTCTCAATGTTAAGCTTTTCCTTTTTGCAGGGAAGGCAAAGCACGTGTCAACGGGCCACAGCCGAGGGGCGATCACTGCATAGGCGCCCTTTTGGGAAAATGGATGGGTTTGGTAGATGTTTCAACCAGTAGGTTGTCCATCGCCCGCCATTTTCCAGAATACCTATGCCTGCATTGGCAAACATTCAGCATCTATGCCCAAGGCGTCAGTCGAGAGTTGTTCAGGCCATCCCTTCTTCGTCCCATAAAACCACATTCCACCAGACGACTCCCCACGCAACGGCCTCCGCATCCGAGATCTCAAAAAAAGTGTTGTCGAACATGATGACATCGTCCTGGGCTCGGAGCATACGTCATTTGACCATCGGTTGGCTAGGAAAGCTGCACCCGAAGCGGATCCAGCGCGCCGACAAAAGCGCGAAAAGCGCAGCTGGAAGGGGCTGTCGTGCGCAAAAAATACCATGCAACTCGTGTGTTGATCTAGAAATTACCCGCCTAAAAGGGAGCCACAACTACGTCCAATCTTGCCAACTGCCTTCATCTAGTGACACATTGAACCAAAACTGAATCAGGGGTCACTGCTCCACAGTCTTTCGCCGGGCCAGGCCCCGCTTCCCGACTCCCGGGCGTATGTTCCATGTCCCAACTGCCCATGCCAACGGCAAGTATCGGGTTAGTTGGCCATGGGCTGCATGCCTCAGCCTAATCCCTTCATGGCCCTCTGAGTTCTCTGTAATTCGAGCAAATGTGTCGCCGAATGGAAAAGACCACATCTAACCTGCCTGCTTGCTTTGAAACAACGCCAAGCAAAGCATCCCAAGAGAGTGTCAGGCAGCGTCGGCTCGTCTGGTCGTAGTTTCTTATTCATGCTGGTCCTGGTTTTCGCACGAAAACGATACCGCGCAAGGTATTTGTCCCGGAGCAATCCAGTTGCCAAGGCGCATCATGGCAAAAGCCGCCGTGTGTTGCATAGGTGAAGCCTTCCTGGCAATTGAAATCGAGTCAAACAAAGATAAGAGCAGCGCTGCCGATTCTCATCATCTCCACAAGGGCGTGTCTTTTTTGAGCCACCATTTTGGGGGTCCCCTAAGAATTGACCCCCCCCATATGATGCTTAAGCATTGCCATAGTGTTGCAGTGCGCGGACTTGCATCATTTTGGTATCCACAAGATTGAACACATCGCCACTCGATCCCTCGGAGGGGCATGCAGTGCCATAGCACCAAACTCCGTTGAATCTCGGTCAGCAGGCCAATCGATTGTCCAACTGAGTCTGCCTTCGCTCAAAGGGTCTGCCCACATCTGGCCTTGTCTTCAGGCGAGTAATACTCGGTCACATCCCATCCTAGGGCGGCTCCGGGCAAGCCAAAGGCACCGGCGAAGACATGCATCTCCCACCCAACGGTAAAGCATCGATAGACGGACCATGCTGCCGCATCATCTTGCTGAGACAAGCGTCATGGTACAGCCAAAAGCCGGCAGCGAAGTACTGTTCCACACTGCATGGCCATTGGTCAAAAGGAACCTTCACTTTCAACACAAGCAAGACGTAGCTCGAGAAGGGGCAGATGGCACGGAAAGCTAGATGACACATAGACTTAATTCACCCTGATATTTATGAACATCATCCAACAAAGGAAACCTGTTGACAACCCCGCAAACACATCTTTACCCAACGGGTTGTTGCAGATTCTAGGCACAACTGCCTTCTTGTTGAAACCAGTTGGTTGCTCCAGCAGCCTCCTACACAATTTCCGCATGCTCTCTTCGGGTCAGGTACATCCCTCTTGGCAGTTGAGGAATCTGGTTTTTCCAGTGAAATCCTTGATTTTGGGCACAAACAGTTACAAGCCGCATTGTGGATGGACGCAATCCTGCACAACCTAAGAAACCACGGAATGATTCGATTCCCCGTTAAAATACCGAGAAACGCGATGGCTTCAACCGTTGGTTCATTTCGTGCGACGGGATTTCGTCCACAGACTGCCACGATTGGATCGCTCCTCACTGCCTGAGCTTTCAGCGTGAGGGCGGTACCCTGACCAGCCCGTCGTTGCAGCCTGGCCGATGGGAGGAGGCTGAAATCGGAAAAGCGAAATTATACATACGTGTATGTGTATATATATATATATATATGTGTGTCTATATATGTTTTTGTTTTTTTGTGCATACATTGTTATGTACAGAATCCACTGTAGGCAATCCCTTTTCTTTTGGACTTCATCAAACACACACTGCAGTGAGCCGATATACCTAGAACACCCTGAGTGGAGCATTTCCGCTGTTCGCCGTAACTACAACATATTTAGTCGTTTCCATCAATAATTGCCTTTCCTTGGACACGTGCCATAGCAAACCGGAAAAAAGAAAAAAAAAAAAACGTTGTATCAGGGAAAAACACCTCCACCAGTTGGTTGCATACATCCAAAATGACAAAATTCAGGAAAATCGCCTCAACTGAAACAAAAAAAACAAAAAAAAAACTTGTTTTCGCGGAAAGGCGGACAAAAACGGACCTAGGAAGATCCAGGTATGGGGTTTGAATTGGGGTTAAAGTGCTTTCTGCTAGCCCATGTAGCACGCAATCAATCAGCTCGCTGGCTTGCAGCCATTGCGCAACAGGAAGTTGGGTCTCTCTGTTGTTTGGGCTACCCCTGTTTTGATGGGTTTTAAGCGAAAGCAAAGGTAAAACCACGATGTTGGGGAGAGCCTGAAAGAAAGACACACCCGTTTGCTAGCACCAACCCACAACAAGCAGAGAGACGCAAAGCCCCTTGTTGCGACACAGAAGCTCGGCCATTCTGAAATCGACCTCTCCTGGTCCTAAGTTGCAGGAAATTGGCCATGCCGGGCCGGCCAGCGGTGACGGCCCAGTAATCGTGCACGTTGCCGGCACAGCCGGGGTAGTGGCATCCTATGGACCTGGCGCGCCAGGTGCGCCGGCCAGCAATTCTGTGCCACGATGAGGTGGTACAACACGTGGGCGTTTATTCAAATTCTTGGGAGTGCCCTGAGAAAGGGCACCTAGTCCCATGGCACTTGACAGGGGCTCCCTGCTATGAAGCTCTTCAGCCTCCCTTCCTCACCCAAATTTGTCAGGACAAAAGCGGACCCGATGGGATTGGAGCCCATAACCTCCCTGGGTGTGCTCGGGTGCGCTGCGATTGCGCCACAGGTCCGTTAAGCAATGGTGTCTTCTTCTATTTCAAGATTGCTTCTTCCAGCTGTGGATTCTATACTCGAGCCAATGAATCCCAAACAAAAAAAATGGCGTCCTACTTTGACCATCCCAAAAAACAGTTTGAGATACCCATACGGGGTTGATCAATATTCCCAGATCCGCCGCCAAAAGTTTAACTTTTAGTGAGTTAAATGGAAACTACCATTAAAGACAAATAAGCTAAACGGCCAACTCGGCTTTTTTTCTTGGCATGTGCTGTCTTCGGAAGTGCAAACTTGTAGACGCTGCTGAGCAACACCTTCTCTCAGCTTGTGGCCCAAGCTAATGAGCATCATCTCAGCACACACGCCCTGTTGTCGCTGTATGCAGGCCACGTGACGTGTGAGGAAAGAGACGGAGACAGAGACACGCTCGCGTTGCCCTGAAGTCTGGAATCTTACACGAACAAGACGGCACTTGCTTTCGAATCAATTCCATGTGACTTCTCTGGCAATACTGAACCAAGCACAAGTGCTCCTGCCTCACCATCACCTGATTGTCGTTCATCAGCTGCGATGGAACCTCATGGCGGACCAAGGCAAACAGAATCGACTGTGGGCACCACAACATGTTTGATAAGTCCGGACTGGCTCTGAATAGTTTGCCTCAGAAACGGCAAACAAAAACCACTTGGAGCCTGCCTGGTTGACCCATCTCAACTTACAGGGACTCGACCGCCATGTGCTTCCAGAACTCCTAGCTCCGAAAGGCTCCCTCTTCAGGCAATTTGGATACCCCCAGCTTAGCTCCCTTCCGTCCACCAGCTGGTCACACAAAAGTTGGGTTATCAAGTCCGATAAAATGCCATCCCGCAAGCGCACTGCTTGCTATCGGCACGGCCCCTCCTTTCCTTCCTGGCTGGGTCCACTACACTTGCAATGCTGGAGCCCCGGTACACAAATGGTCGACCCAGAACCATGCTTCAAGAACTAAGAAGGCGGCAGCTATTTATGGTTGGGATCGTCCCTTACTAACCTTCACTTACCCGGGTTTTCACTGTCACTCATTTAGGATTAGTCAATGGGCAGTGGCGGAACTCTGCAAGTGGCGGTAGCATTGTATTAAATTGTCTGGGCAAACTTTCTACCCCAGGTGAGATCAGCGTAATGTTCCCAGAGAATGGTAAGCGAAACTCTGATACAGCCTCCCATCGAACTTGAGGTAGAATCAAATCAAACATCTGCCGCCAGTTGCTGCAAGCATTGTATGCTACACCGCATCGGATAAATCAGAAGACGGTGCACGCGCTTCACACAAGCCCAGCTGGAGGCTCCACGATTGTTCGTTGGAAGGATTGCTGTTGTCAGCTTGATGGCTCAAGCAACTCAAGTGATGTCCAGGCGGCAGAGTTTAACTAGGTCCTCCAGTCGAGAGGTTAGAATAAACTCTGTTTTCTGTAGTCTATTTTAGGGGAGCCCTCCCCCAAAAGAAAATAAATGGTCACCTAGCTGGAAAACCTAGTCAAGGAACTCGAGCGATGTCCAGGCGGCACAACCGGTGAGTTGAATGCCCAAACCTCTGCGCATCGGGATTCGAATCCCCTTGCTGTGCTTGTCCCTTTAAAACATCCGGCCCATCGTCAGGTCAAACCCCTTGAAGGGTTCGTGTAGAGGGTACACGGGAAACCACCCCTCAACCACCAAACCAGCAAAAAATGGAGAGAAGCTGAAAAGGGCAGGAGGTCACCTACAAAATAAAAACAAAAACGAAGCAGCATGTTGCAATAATGAGTTCGAAACAACCAAATGGGCCTCTTACTTGAAGGCGCCTCTGAACTTGAATGAAACGCCTGACCAACTGGACCAATCAAATACGCTCTCTGCAAGTCCTCTGAGGTCCGAGGTCCGACACATGCGACATGCGCCCGTGCCGAAGCACATGCAGGCGCTCACTCGGCAAAGACGCATCTGGCTGAAACAATAAGCAAGAGTCTAGGGGTTGATTCCTTTTCCATTTTTTTCAGCCATCGCTCTTTTCAAAAACCAGCCATTTCCCCAGCATGTTTGGTGGCTTTCTAGAAAGATTCGGATCCCTGGACAGAATGGAAATGGAAGTTACCCCTAGAAAGAGGACTGCAATCGGGGCCGCGGGCTAGCGGCTACACCTTCCCGCCCCACTCAAGCCCCTGGCAGCCACGGAGTGTGCATCCCTGCTGGGCACGGCAGACTGGCCAGCGAGCGCTTGGCCGGAGACTCCCTACTGGACAGCATCCCACCATCTAATCACATGCAAACCCATCGATGTTCCCCCAAAGTGATGAACATTTCGGCCATGTTTTCCTTTGACCATCTAATCGAAATCAAGGAACTGTGCTGCCAGGTGCTCCAGTTCTGCATCAAACCATCGCGAGAATCTATATCCAGCTCGGTGGATGTAGATTTGTGGACAGCTTCTCCTTGGTGATCTGTTAAAAAAAAAAGAGGAGAGGCACGATCCTTGCAGGTCGTCACATTTCGCCACCAACCGCCCTCCAGTCTCATCCACCGCTCCACCTCCCCAACGCGATCCCCGCCTTGCACACCAAATGGCACTGCAGGGAGCTCCCAGAGCCACAGGCCTGGTACGAGAACGAGTAGACGTCCTGCGCGCTTGGAGGCGCGTTCTCGTCGGCCGCGCCTTGCCTCACTGGCTTGGCTGATCCAAATTTGGGACATCTAATTTGCCATGTTAATTCGGGTCACCAACCATCTCTCGCAAGTTCCAGAACCACAGGAAACAGGATGTAGAAAGGATGTTGGAGGCAAATCCCCTAGAAAACATCCAAATCGCCATATGGCCATGGGTCAAAAGCCCGTACCCCCTGTGAACATCCCAATATGCACGAAAGTAGGTTCTAAAATCGGTGTGAATTCACCTACCCCAAAATGGGATCCCATTAGTTTTGACAACCACGGCCATATTGCCACCCCCCCCACGCACCCCCCCAAGTCCCAAGTCCCCTCTCCTGCCGGAAGAGCACCAGGCGGTTGCCGGGCAGCTTCATCTGCCTCGCCTCGCCGAAGCGCTCGTCGAAGGGCTGCAGCTCCAGCTCCTCGGAGCGGCCAGGCGAACCGGCGAACCTCTGTTCAGAATATCCCGGGTCAACGGGACAAAGGGGATTCACACTACATCAGCCTGACAAGCGTGGGAGATTTCAACAGCACCCAAGCAGCCTAAACACCTTTGTCGCCAAACAAGCACCAGCAGCAACCACACCACCGAGCATGCCAGCACTCTGAGCAGCACCCTGAGCAGCAAAGCCACTGCCAACGTAAGCACCTCAGAATGATCAAATCAGCACCCTGGCTGCATCACCAAAAAAGCCCGCCAGCAACCCGCGCACCACAGCACCAAGCGAACAAAGTCGTCATGGTGATGGGAATCCAATTTGGGGCGGCGAGAACGCAGTGCCAAACATACCGTTTAATGAAGAAAAAAAAGAGCTGCGAATGAAAGCAAGCAAAGCTTGAAATAATTCCACAAGATGCGTAAACTGCCAAAGGGCTCGTGGCTAAACATAGGCTGGGTGCATGGCAACGCACACGTGGCCTGATAAGGTCATCACAAATGCCGAGATTCGATTTAAAACGCGCGCCTCTGATCGACAGGCCATGGAGACAGAGATTAAATGAGGGGGTGGTGGACAGCCTCGATTTCCATCTTCTGTGCGGGACGGTTGGGAGAACAGTAGTAAAGAATACATTGCATGAGTCTTCAAAACTACTCTGAAAAAGCTACCAAGAAGTACTGATCAAATCAGCTGGTCTGAAGCTGAAAATAATTCGATGCTGGCATGGAACACACGGCTTCGTGATGATGGCAAGGGCCATCATATCAGCAAACCATGCCTTTCGGATCATTTGTCCAGTGCACAGCTCCAAACCACTTCTTGCCACATGCTTCTTGATGACTGCACATGTTTACATATTCCTTTTGAAAGAGATCCGGGTCGGGTCGCTTCGATCAACTTGTCCCATCTACGCGGCCGCGTGCAAGGGACACCGGGCAACAGCGCTTTGTCGGGCCCGGTCTCGTGACGCCAAGAGTCCGAGCCCTCGTCGTCAAGGAGCAGCATCATGCAGATCTTCCTGGCCCGGAGTGCTCTGCTTGGCAACAAATCTGCGAGAATCTGCGACAAAAAAATGGGAGGGGGGGGGACCCTACCCCACATCGGGGATCCTCATTCTTCCCAAACCTGAAACAAGTCCTGTGCGAGATGCCACCGTCCTGTTCTCCAGGAAGTCGATGTGCCCCAAGACCTTGCCATCCTGGAAGCGGTCTACCCGGCCAAAAAGGATGGATGATCCGCGCAACAGGGCAACCAACCGCACTGCCGGTGAGGCTGGGTGGACAAAGATCTGCTAATCCCGCCCTTCGGTCTGCCCAGGCCTCATAGTTCCTCTGTGACAGCGCAAAGGGTCGGAGAGCGTTCTCCTGAAAGCTCACGCGGGCCAAATCGACTCCGTCGAATTCGATTGGCACCCTTTGTTTTGGTCTACCTGGATTGGCTCAGCAAGTGCAAGGCAAATGCTTGGCTTCGAATAAAACAAAAAAGCAACTCAGTCCTTGAAACTCGCATTGCTCACATCGTTGCTCCAGAAACAGCTGAGCCAATGAGATCGATCGGTGCTTCTTCGTGTTTGTTCCACACTCCTGGCTGCTCTCTACTCGGAGGGTGAGGTCGGGATTCTAGAGTCACGTTCTAGCCACTTGTCCTCGATTGATACTGCAAAACAACGTCATCTTCCAATGAAAAGGGTGAAGGCTGTGATCGCGGCATCACATCCTTCCCAAGTTGAATGGCGCGCGCGACCCGTCCTCAGCCTTGCTCTGGAGAGGTAGCCTGGAGAGAAACAATGCTCAAGGAGAGTGGCATCAATGCATTCAGACACTGCCAAAAAAAGAGTATTTAGAGTATTTGGTGCATATAGGCCTGGAAAATTCGAGATTCTGGCTTTCTCCAAGCACGCCCGCATCCGTAAACGATTTGACGGGCTGCGCTGCACTGTGTGCCAAGATCAAGCGCCGAATGCATTGGCGAAAGCAAATCCGTAGCATGTGGTGTTGCAGTGTGGTTGTTGCGTTCTGGCCAAGCCCAGCCAAAAGAACTGACCAGTCATCAGCAGACCTGCCCGGAAATGCCCTGGGTCCATCCGAAACTGGCAATGTGAAGGCAACAGCCAAACGAGTGTCCTCTTTGGAGGTGGCAAAGGATAACCAACAGGAAAACCACCGAAAAAAAGAATAAAAAAAGAGGAAACACCGGGTCCCCAAAAAGTTGACAACCGGATAAACGACTTCCGGTTTGTGTTTCGGACTTCGAAGGCCGACACACCAACATTCCCCAAACGTTTGGTGGGCCACTAAGGCCAGGCCGTCACAATCAAAAAGCAACGGCCGGTGTATTTACTAGATGCCTGTTTGGTTTTTCTGGGGTAACAGCCAGAGCGACGGGCTACCCTCACCACTGGAACACTGGGACCCTCTGGCTCCATGTTAGACCCCTAATTCCGCCATGGAACCCAGGGGAAAAGACCAGTTTCCCTAAGAAAATAAGAGATACTTTCTCGTAGGGGGTTCTAAAAATTCACTACATGACTGATTTTTTTCTGGGTTCCATCCAAACAGAGTGACTACGGCCAGCTACCCGTGTTACTGCTCCAGAGGGCAACGACTTCCAGTTCTCTCATGCGATTTTTCCCCCCCGCCCCGCTTGCCTCGCGGCCACGCGGGAACGGCCCCAGAGCTGGAACCCCAGGCGGGTTGGCACCTGAAGGACTTCGGATTTATAAAAAAAAAAAATAAAAAAAAAAAAAAAAAAAAAAAAAAAAAACGAATCCGAGGAACCCCCTAAAAAAGACACGTAGTTTCCTTACAAACAGGAAAACGTGCCTGAGCATGCTCCTCCGGATTCATCTGAAGATTGAAGTCACATGACTCGGTTTATGCTCGTATGGTTTGATGAGGATTAGATGAGCTCTGACAACTTGCCCTGAGTACTGATTAGCGTCCGAGCAGAAGTCTGGAAACGAGAAAACGTGGCTCTGAGAAATCTGGAGAGGCTTCATGTCCGCCCTCCACCTCCCAACAGCTCCAGTCCCTCCAGAAACAAGAATTGTGCAAACAAGGGGTAAACCCCGAAGTTTACGCTCAACCGCATTTGTTTTTTGTTAATGTATGTGTCTCCTTCTGGGCTGTGGGAACTGATTCAGATAGGAAAGAAAATGGTCATTGAAAGCATCAACTCGAGTTGTTCATGGAACTGATGAGTCCTACCCTGCACAGATCTCATTACCTTTGCAAAGGGCAAACGTGCTGTTGCCATTGAAAAGGATGCATCTCATCTACATCAGTCTTGTCAAAATCTGTTGCGAGGCTGCGTCACCTACTTTGGCAGGTCGCATTTCTTGTGCTGAACGGCACCAGAGGCCACTACACAGTTTCACATCTCAAAAACGGTCCCCGGATTAGCCGCCGGGTACTGCCTGAGGCAAGACCTTCAGTGCAGCATATCGATCGGATTCGCAGTACCCTACCGGGCCAGGAGCTGCAAGCATCAAACGGATACCATGAGTTGAAATGATCTCAGCTGCTTGGATAGACAGTTCCCCAAACCAGAATCCACGATTCACGCCAACACAACGACAAAGGGATGCATTGGAATTGGATCACCTGAGTCATCATCAAAACCCGGGATTAAAATGATCTACCCAGAACCATGAAGAGAAATAAGAAGGCGGACAACCGCAGCTATCTATGGCAAGGGGATTGTCTCTAACCTTCATCTACCCGAATCGACTTTGAGCACGTGGCTCTCCTTCGGGGAATCCAGGCCCCTGGCAACAGGCTCGATGGCCGCAGCCACCTGTGCCGGTTCCGACCCAAACCACGGGCTTCGAGAAAGCGACGCGCACTGCACCATGGCACTTGGGGAAAAGAAAAAACGCCGGAGGGTGTGATTTGCTGTGACAGAGACTGAGGGCAGTGACCGCAAACAACGGCATCGCAACAAACTTGGAATTTGACGCAAAACACAAGTGGAAACCCAGCTCATTTTCCCATTGATGCGTTTGAACCTAGCTGAATCAATTGACAAGCGTGTGCGAATGATGTCGAAGGGGATACCAAGCTTTAAACTTTGGCCCATCATGTCAATCACTTGAGTAGCGGCAGCCTGTTTTGCTTTGTTCAAAGGTACAGGTATACGGGGCTAAAGGCAACTTGAAGCAGTTGGTGGTTCGCCTCTCCAGCTCCTCTCTACGAACAAACAGAGCCCCTTTGTTTTTTGCAGTTCGTCGGGAATGCTTTTGATCCCCAAGGTCTCAAACCACATACTGTGGGTCCACACTTTCCGCGACGAATCCATTGCCCGTTGACAATCTATAGGCACCTACCGCTTTACGAGGGGGTCGAGCCGAGCTCGCTTTGTTGTGTCCTTCCCATCCTTCCCTGTGTCACCATAGGATGATTGGAAAATATATTCATGCAGACGGCTTCATGAAGCCCGTTGGGTGTTTCCCTTGGTCCAACCGTTTTGCAGTGGCAACTGAGGCCGTGGCAAAACGCATCGCAGGAAAAACACTCAACAAACGTGCAACAATCTTCCCAGTTTGGAGTTGGGAGGGTCGAAATGCATGGTCATTGGCTTCAGACACATCAACCATAAAGTGTACTCCTGACCCGCTCAAAGCCAATGCTGCGTGCTTTTTGCACCGTCTCTGACACAGAGAGTGGTTTAAATTCCCACTGCCAGGTTTTTCCTGATGGTGGGACCAGATCGACGTCTGCAAAATCGCAAGGCAAGTCATGTTTCTAGTGACAGGGGCCGGGTGCCCCAATTCCTAAACAGCCACATTGTGGAATTGATTTCAATGGAAACCGAAAGAGGCTAATTTTTGGGCCCATATGAGCCATGTTCAAAACACCTTATATGGCATGGTTCCCTCAATAGGAATCATTATACTAAGGATCCTGATTACCAGGTCGATGACCATTCCGGGTCCCTTAAAAACAACATTTAGGGTATTCAAGGGGATTGTGCGGTTTTTAAAAGGGAAACCTAAGAGCAGAAAAGACCATTTGGCTGTGGCTCAAAAAGCCGGTACCAAAATGGAACCCTGGTAAGTGGAAACCACACCCATTTTGCGGGGTAGACACCCATATGCCTAGAGCCTATCCTACACTTCACAGCTTGGCGTCAGGTCTCGCAGCGGCTCCTGGCTGGAAGCGTCACGCTGAAATCTAATGGAACGTGTTTTCCTATTGGTTGATTCCCCATTCTTTCTAACAAAAGAGAAAAGAGAAGCCAAACCTGAAAATGGGGATTTCCACCCAACTGAGTTGAGCCAAAATCCTGTGAGCTGCTCTCACTCTAGGGGTTGATTCCTTTTCCATTCTTTTCAACCATCGTTCTTTTCAAAAACCGATCGTTGTTTTTTGGGGGTTCTGATGGTTCTCTGGAAAGAAGGATTTTTGGAAAGAATGGGGAAGTGTCCCCTAGAGTTTTCCTATTGGTTTTCCCTTTGAAGCCAGCCCAAGACGTGTACCCTCCAAAAACCCGCAAGCAAGTGGGTCCGCGACGCCAGCTACTGAGCGTGCAACTGTCTGAAATTTCAAACATGGCAAACACATTGGCAGCCTTTTTGTGCAGGGTAACACATGCAAAAACGCATAGCTGTGCGCGAGACAGGTGAGAAAAAAACATGCATGGATGACATGTTTGCACTGTGTTGCAATCGTTGTTTGCCTACTCTTCGACAACTTCAAATTCCACTTCATTTGCCCCGCATGGGCACAAGGGCACAATGGCTTGTCACGTCGAGGCGATCACCACCACCACCACCACCACCACCACCAGCACCACCAGCACCACCAGCACCACCAGCACCACCAGCACCACCAGCACCACCAGCACCACCAGCACCACCAGCACCACCAGCACCACCAGCACCACCAGCACCACCAGCACCACCACCACCACCACCACCAGCACCAGCACCCGCCCCACCCTGTGCAAGCTTTGGTGCTACAAATCTCCACTGCACCTCTCCGCCGCGCACCTGCAGAGCTCTGGATCTCCTTTCCCGCAATTTTCTCCAGAGACTTGACCTCGGCTGCCACTGAGCATCGCAGAGTTTCAAGGCCGCTGAGGCCCAAAGTGGCAAACTCAGTTGGGGTCCTCGTGGGCCTGTGACGATTGCTTTCAATAGGCACGTGATTGCATGAAGGGAGTTGTGGGTTCCAGCAACAATCATGTTCTGCCGAAACAGGGCCAACATCTCCCAGCCATGCTTTCTCAAACCGCTAAGAAACTCCAAACACCGCAATGTGGCACTCGTTCTTGAAAACGTGTGTGTGTGTGTGTGTGTGCATGCGTGCGTGCGTGCGTGTGTGGGTGTCGGTGTGTGTGGGTGTCGGTGTGTGTGTGTGTGTGTGTGTGTGTGTGTGTGTGTGTGTGTGTGTGTGTGTGTGTGTGTGTGTGTGTGTGTGTGTGTGTGTGTGTGGGGTGGGTGTGTGTGTGTGTGTGTGTGTGTGTGTGTGTGTGTGTGTGTGTGTGTGTGTGTGTGTGTGTGTGTGTGT